ATTGCTATTATAAACTGGTTACCAACGTAATTAGAACAGTAAAAATTATTTTGGGGTCATACCCCAAAACAAGACCATGGTGCTTGCCTACGGAGCTGTGAGGGGAACGGCACCTCCTTACCTTCAGGCTCTGATCAGACCCTACACCCAAACGAGGGCACTACGTTCATCCACCTCTGGCCTGCCAGCTCCCCAACCTCTACGGAAGCACAGTTCCCGCTCAGCCCAGTCAAAGCTATTCGCTGCTCTGGCACCCCAATGGTGGAACAAGCTCCCCCACGACGCCAGGACAGCGAAGTCACTGACCACCTTCCGGAGACACTTGAAACCCTACCTCTTTAAGGAATACCTGGAATAGTATAAAGTAATCCTTCTTCCCCCACCCCCCATAAAAAAAATAAAGGTGGTTGTCCCACTGGCTATCATAAATTGAATGCACCAATTTGTAAGTTGCTCTGGATAAGAGCTTCTGCTAAATGATGTAAATGTAAAATGTGTTTCCCAATAGCCTGCTGGAATAGACTACTGAAGATGGGGTCATAATTTAAATCACTGAATTAAAGATGAATAATATGTATATGAACTGAATATGCTGGTCAACAATTTTTTTAATGTTATTTTTATCTGTAGCCTCATCTGACTACTGTTACCGTCAATCTAATGCGTTTTAACAACTGATCGGCAATTGCGATAGAGCTTTGATAACTTCCAATTTAATTAACTAAACATTTGCATCAGTAACTGCACAATAACATAAGGCTACAACAACAATAAACTGAAGTTATAGGCTGTTTATTAAATTGGTTTGTCAGCTCAAGGTAGGTTACACAAGTGGCACAAATTGAATTGCAATGACTCCAGTGATATCGTCATTTCAACATATTTATTGTATCAAATGGTAGCCTACAATAGCATATACATGAATAGGGTACTTAATGGCCAACAGAGACAAATGTATCATTCTTCACATTTAATGTCAGTTTTATTGAGGTCTTTCCCCCATAAAAAGAACCACGCGAGGGAGTTCCATAACCTAACTCTGGGATAGAGTTGTATTTTTCAGCAGGACAATAACATTTTTTTTTCATGCCAAAGACACACCAGATAGGTGTTGAGTGTTCCTGAGTGATCCAGTCTTACTCCTGACTTAAATTTGCTTGAAGATCAGAGACAAGGTTTGAATATTCCGTCAATGACTCCCAACCAAATGTACTGAGCTTGAGCAATTGTGACAAAAACAATGGATAAATGTTGCCCTAAGACTTCTGCAAAGTTGGTCGAATCTTATTCAAAATTATTTACATCTGTAATGGTTGCCAAAGGTGCTTCCACCAAGTATTAACTCTGGGGTGTGAAAATATACACAATTATGACATCTTCGTTTTTTGTATTTTTATTAATTTGGAAAATGTTATATAATTGTTCTTTCACTTCGAAAATGTGAAGTTGGTTTTGTAGATCTTTAGGAAAAAAATCGAATTTATTCCCTTTCGAGATTGAATTATAAGGCAGCAAAATGTGAAGACTGTGCAAGGGGTGTGTAGACTTTCACGAGCGACCATATATCACTCAAATTGAAGTCTTCCTCCATGTGACGTTTGCTTGAGGACAACCAATCCAGTAGAGGCTCCGAGAACAGGCCTGAGGCATACGTTCTCCTCTCCTCACACCCATGACTGTCAATACCCAACTACTCACATGGATGCCAGTAAGGCCCCCAGTGGCTAGAATAGAGGAGGGTGTGTTAAGATGTTGAGAGGAAAATGAAAAGAAAATGGTTGTTCGTAATTGACTGGGACGACGAGTTTCTTTGTCGATGCGTTCAAAGTAAGCAAAGCAGGGAAGCAAAGTAGGGAAACGAAAGGGGGTTGTCCTGAGAGAGGTCACAATCTCAGAGAAACCAATTTTAAGGTAGGACGGGGATAATACTGTATCTCAATAACAATTGAGTAAAACCCTATTCGCACGGGACTAGTATTACTAGAGAACGTTGGTTATGTAATTATTACCGGATTCGTTTTTTCCAAACTGCCCCCTGTAATTCTTTATTTTTTTCAATAAATTGACAGATATTTCAACAAGTCCATGCGACAACAGGGCTACACTGATAACTCGAGCTTGTTTCCCAAGTTTCTAAACCATACCAGACCATCTTTGGTATAGTGTCGAAATAATATTTTAATTGAAGAAGTGTGATCATAATCATTAGGATATTTTAGCGATCCACAGTAGACGTCCTAAATGCCCCCAGCCTTCAGATGTGAGTTTAACAGTGCACTTGCACTTGAGATGCGTTTTAAGGCTATGGATATGAAAGTGAACATATCATTTCCAAACGTTTAGGTCAGTTGTATGCTGCTTTGAGATCTATTAACAGCATGGGTTACATTAAATAGACGCAATAGTTTTTACTGATGCATTTGACAATATTCAATTCATACACACAAAACAGGAACAAAAGCATTCACTGTGAACGTTGATACACGTAGGCCCTTCATATATACGCTATGCGAAGCACTTCGTTCAATTGATCGAATCAGTTATTGTTTTCTTGCTCAAAACGTGAGTAACACCTGTCAAACTCAGACATTTCTCTCAAAACACAGGGATGTCGATTCGCACGGGACTAGTATTATCAGAGGACCTTGGAGTTCGCCAAAAAACAGTAGGTTACTCTGGCTGGAATTGTTACTCTCCAGCCATGTAAAAATTACTGCCATGGCAGATTCGGACGGGACTAAAATTACAGATGTGGTGTTTTGTGCTCGTGCACATAATTATATTACCCAACCACTCCCAGTAAAACTAATCCCGTCCGAATAGGGACTTTGGGTTTGGGAAAAATTTGGTGTATCATTGTGAGCTAGTCTGGCCCCAGATGTGCTTAAACCAACTCCTATTGTTGTGCCATGTTCTCAGCCCAATCAGTAAGTATTTATGTTGCGCCTACCCGCATGTAGGCCATGGGAAAGTAAATGCAGTGATCTGTTTACTACCGTATGTTAAAGTATGTTAAAGTAGTTGCAGGTGCTTGGTAGCAACTGGAATTTTGAGACTGGCATTTTTTACTTATCCGTAGATAGAGCACCATCTAGCGGAGTAGCAGAACATCTGCGACAGGTAATTCTCAATAGGCAGTGATTGATGAATACTTACTAAAGCATAGCACGTAGGCCAAAGATAACATTCTTTCCAGTCTTCTGTGGCCTGACAGTGAAAAGAACTCCACACCTGTCTGATGTATGCAACATTGTATCCACCAGAAAGAACACTGTCATTATAATGAAATCCACTGTATCTGGTAATTTGAAAGGAATGCTGTCTCCATGTGGGCGAGTTTCTACGACATTACGGACCGTTTCTGAAACATAATTTCACGACAACTGTTATTACAAAAGTTGTATTTACCTTATGGTTTATTACTTTAGATTTAATTACTTGTAAAAACAAAAACCATCACTTTCAAGTTTTGTATTATTTTTTCCATTCACCACATTTTTTAGCAAAGTTTGACAGTATCCCATAATTGTGTCGCACTTTTATTTACCACTGCGATATTTTGACTTTTTTTGTTATTATTGTCGGTCATGCAGGTGCCAAATAATTTTATTTGACAAGTGGGACTGACTGGTACCGTCACTGGAAGAGTTCGATCCTTGTGCGCGGCGGTGGAAGTGAAGTGGAATGTCAGTGTTGGTCGGCTTGACAAATTAATGTTGAAGTGAGGGTGTGTTCGCCATTTACCTGGACGGCCATCAGTGCTCTTGTGACTACTTTACTAAACGAGGACACAGATACAACTGTACATTTGTATTTATTGTGTTAACGCTGGCTACTATTCTGAAGAAAGCAGGGTCCGGATTAAAGGTATGCTTGTGAAGGGAGGGAGTAGTAAAAACTGATTTTGTCGTTCGGGAAAACCTTTCTTATTTCCTGTATGGTGTTTGGCCTTCAGCTAAAATAGGTAGCTAGCTAACTAGCTAGCCACAGACAGAACGTAGCTACGGTAGCAGACCAGTCATTTCCAAATTCTTTCGAATTAAGATAATTTAGCAAAAGTGGAGGGTCAGTCTCACCATAATAATTAACATGTCAACTGCTGGGTAATGTTACTGCAAGTGTTGTTACATTGGAACCTTCAGTAGTATCGTTTTCTATTACCATCATCGACATTCTTTTAGCTTTTCACCTGGCTGAGCTTTTTGACAAGTGAGTTAATTAGATATGATGATTTGCATAAATTTTCCATAGAGCGATATGGGAATTATTGGCTAGTAAAGTGAATGAGAGCAACTAGTTAGCCTAGCTAACTACTACTACTACAGTACAAGCCATTGATCACAAATAATTCTAACATAGGCCTAGTTATGCATGTAGTTAGTTGCATCTCCTTCCAAACCAATGTTGTCTTTGAGTGGTATGGTAATATTATTGTAGCAAATAGAAATTGAGGTTGACCAAACTGTATGATTGGTTCAGCAAAGGTGATCAATACTGGTAATGAGTTGGTTCAGGCACCCAAACAAACGCATTGTCTGGCTTGTTAAGATCCAATCATGTTTGTAGACTGTAGTTCGCTGTGTGTGCAACATATGTAGCTAAGTGTCTTGCTCAGCTCTGTGGATAAGAAATTGGGGCATAAACATGTTCCTCCTTATCCTTTCCACGGGCCGGTATTGAAGGAATCTCTGTGTGTTGTCTGCCTTTTCGTTTGGGCGTGGTGTGTGTGTGCATGAGGATCACTTGATGACAACCTGACATGCCTAAGAATAATGGACTCAACTGTCAAAGCACATTATCTAATGTGTGTTGTGTAAATAGATCTGAAAATACTTGAGTTGTTGGTTGTCCAATTGGTCATCTAATCTTAAAAGTAGAGTTGTTTAGTTAGTTGTGCAGCCACCAAAATCCCATTCAGTGGATTGCGAATTGTATATCACAATTACTGTGAATGTGGTGACAAAAATATTCTACTGCTCTACGTGTTGTTGTCTAATATCATGTCTTCTTTCCCCTCCCAGGATGCGAAGAAGGCTCTGAGTCGGGGCTCCAAGATGAGTGTGACATCATGGTTCCTGGTCAGCAGCTCAGGCACAAGACACCGGTTGCCACCAGAGATGATCTTTGTAGGCCGGGAGGAGTGCGAGCTCATGTTGCAGGTGTGTATGACATCTACAGCACCTTCTGTTTACACACCAGACACATCAATCTGTCATGTGACCCTTAGACAATCAGCTGTCCATTCACACTCTTGTGAAAGGATGTAGCCTATAATAGGGTCATGACTCAAAGAAAGCAAGTTAGGTTAATGTACTAGAGCTCTTGTAGGAGTTGATCTGTGTGTACTTGAGAGGTTTGTGTTACGGGTGTTTTTAAGAGTAGTGCCTGCTGGGAGTAATTGCCTCTGGCAACCGTTCAATGTTAAAGAAAAATGCTTACTTATACATTCCACCCTGCTGTTTTTCTCCATGTTTCCTGGTTCTAGTTACTGTTTGGAATTCTTTGGGAATTTCTCTGTGTACTTCTCGCTCTTAAGCCACTGGAAAAAAGAACGCTGCCTTGAAAATAGTTTATAAACTTTCCTCAGTCTGTGGTTTGTTCAAAATGCCCTTCCCACCACATCTGCTTGCAGAATTGAAAAGCTGCTCTTGTCCACATTCAGGCATCACTTTCAGGCATCATTGGAAATGTTGCTTACTTACGGTCCATTCGGAAAGTATTCAGACCCCTTGACTTTTTAAACATTTTGTTATGCTACAGCCTTATTCTAAAATGGATTAAACACAATCTACACACAATACCCCATAATGACAAAGCAATAACAGGATTTTAGAAATGTTTGCAAATGTATTAAAAATTAAAAACAGAAATACCTTATTTACTGTTGTCTCGTTGAGGACAGGGATGATGGTTTGAGTTGTGTGAAGTGGTCACTCTGCCTGTTCAGTGTCAGACTGGAGTTGTCAAAGACTCCAGTCATCAAAGACATAGACTGTTCTCTCTGCTACCGCACGGCAAACCGTACCGGAGCACCAAGTCTAGGTCCAAAAGGCTCCTTAACAGCTTCTACCCCAAGCCATAAGACTGCTGAACAATTAATCAAATGGCTACCCGGACTATTTGCATTAGTGTCCTAAGTTTTCATAACTGTGACCTTAATTGCCTACGGTCTGTAAGCTGTTAGTGTCTTAACGACCGTTCCACAGGTGCATGTTCATTTATTTTTATGGTTCATTGAACAAGCATGGGAAACAGTGTTTAAACCCTTTACAATGAAGATCTGTGAAGTTATTTCGATTTGTTCGAATTATCTTTGAAAGACAGGGTCCTGAAAAAGGGACGTTTCTTTTTTTGCTGTGTGTGTGTGTATATATATTATATATATATATATATATATAAGAGGATTGGGATGAAACCAAAATAGAACTTTTTGGTAAAAACTCAACTCGTCGTGTTTGGAGGACAAAGAATGCTGAGTTGCATCCAAAGAACACCATACCTACTGTGAAGCATGGGGGTGGAAACATCATGCTTTGGGTCTGTTTTTCTGCAAAGGGACCAGGACGACTGATCCGTGTAAAGGAAATAATAAATGGGGCCATGTATCGTGAGATTTTGAGTGAAAACCTCCTTCCATCAGCAAGGGCATTGAAGATGAAACGTGGCTGGGTCTTTCAGCATGACAATGATCCCAAACACACCGCCCGGGCAACGAAGGAGTGGCTTCGTAAGAAGCATTTCAAGGTCCTGGAGTGGCCTAGCCAGTCTCCAGATCTCAACCCCATAGAACATCTTTGGAGGGAGTTAAAAGTCCGTGTTGCCCAGCGACAGCCCCAAAACATCACTGCTCTAGAGGAGATCTGCATGGAAGAATGGGCCAAAATACCAGCAACAGTGTGAAAACCTTGTGAAGACTTACAGAAAACGTTTGACCTGTGTCATTGCCAACAAAGGGTATATAACAAAGTATTGAGAAACTTTTGTTATTGACCAAATACTTATTTTCCACCATAATAATCGCAATAAAATGCAAATGAATTACTTAAAAATCATACAATGTGATTTTCTGGATTTTTGTTTTAGATTCCGTCTCTCACAGTTGAAGTGTACCTATGATAAAAATTACAGACCTCTACATGCTTTGTAAGTAGGAAAACCTGCAATATCGGCAGTGTATCAAATACTTGTTCTCCCCACTGTGTGTGTGTGTGTATAGTATATTATATATATATTATATATATATATATATATATAATATATATATATATATATATAGGTAAAAGTCAGTAAATTAGAATATTTTGAAAAACTTGATTTATTTCAGTAATTGCATTCAAAAGGTGTAACTTGTACATTATATTTATTCATTGCACACAGACTGATGCATTAAAATGTTTATTTCATTTAATTTTGATGATTTGAAGTGGCAACAAATGAAAATCCAAAATTCCGTGTGTCACAAAATTAGAATATTGTGTAAGGGTTACATTTTGAAGACACCTGGTGCCACAAAATAATCAGCTGATTAACTCAAAACACCTGCAAAGGGCTTTAAATGGTCTCTCAGTCCAGTTCTGAAGCCTACACAAACATGGGGAAGACTTCAGATTTGACAGCTGTCCAAAAGGCGACCATCGACACATTGCACAAGGAGGGAAAGACACAAAAGGTTATTGCAGAAGAGGCTGGCTGTTCTCAGAGCTCTGTGTCCAAACACATTAATAGAGAGGCAAAGGGAAGGAAAAACTGTGGTCAGAAAAAGTGTACAAGCGATAGGGATCACCGCGCCCTAGTCAAGATTGTGAAAAAAAACCCATTCAAAAATGTGGGGGAGATTCACAAGGAGTGGACAGCTGCTGGAGTCAGGGCTTCAAGATCCACCACCAAGAGACGCTTGAAAGACATGGGTTTCAACTGCCGCATACCTCGTGTCAAGCCACTGTTGACCAAGAAACAGCGCGAAAAGCGTCTCACCTGGGCTAAGGAAAAAAAGAGCTGGACTGCTGCTGAGTGGTCTAAAGTCATGTTTTCTGACGAAAGCAAATTTTGCATTTCCTTTGGAAATCGAGGTCCCAGAGTCTGGAGGAAGACAGGAGAGGCACAGGATCCACGTTGCCTGAAGTCTAGTGTAAAGTTTCCACCATCAGTGATGGTTTGGGGTGCCATGTCATCTGCTGGTGTCGGTCCACTCTGTTTCCTGAGATCCAGGGTCAACGCAGCCGTTTACCAGCAAGTTTTAGAGCACTTCATGCTTCCTGCTGCTGACCTGCTCTATGGAGATGGAGATTTCAGGTTCCAACAGGACTTGGCGCCTGCACACAGCGCAAAATCTACCCGTGCCTGGTTTACGGACCATGGTATTTCTGTTCTAAATTGGCCAGCCAACTCCCCTGACCTTAGCCCCATAGAAAATCTGTGGGGTATTGTGAAAAGGAAGATGCAGAATGCCAGACCCAACAACGCAGAAGAGTTGAAGGCCACTATCAGAGCAACCTGGGCTCTCATAACACCTGAGCAGTGCCAGAAACTCATCGACTCCATGCCACGCCGCATTAATGCAGTAATTGAGGCAAAAGGAGCTCCAACCAAGTATTGAGTATTGTACATGCTCATATTTTTCATTTTCATACTTTTCAGTTGGCCAACATTTCTAAAAAATCCCTTTTTTGTATTAGCCTTAAGTAATATTCTAATTTTGTGACACACGGAATTTTGGATTTTCATTTGTTGCCACTTCAAATCATCAAAATTAAATGAAATAAACATTTGAATGCATCAGTCTGTGTGCAATGAATAAATATAATGTACAAGTTACACCTTTTGAATGCAATTACTGAAATAAATCAAGTTTTTCAAAATATTCTAATTTACTGACTTTTACCTGTATGTATATATATATATATATATATATATATATATATATATATATATATATATATATATATATATATATATATATATATATATATATATACATACACACACAGTGGGCAAAAAAGAATTTAGTCAGCCACCAATTGTGCAAGTTCTCCCACTTAAAAAGATGAGAGAGGCCTGTAATTTTCATCATAGGTACACGTCAACTATGACAGACAAATTGAGGAAAAAAATTCCAGAAAATCACATTGTAGGATTTTTAATGAATTTATTTGCAAATTATGGTGGAAAATAAGTATTTGGTCACCTACAAACAAGCAAGATTTCTGGCTCTCACAGACCTGTAACTTCTTCTTTAAGAGGCTCCTCTGTCCTCCACTCGTTACCTGTATTAATGGCACCTGTTTGAACTTGTTATCAGTATAAAAGACACCTGTCCACAACCTCAAACAGTCACACTCCAAACTCCACTATGGCCAAGAGCAAAGAGCTGTCAAAGGACACCAGAAACAAAATTGTAGACCTGCACCAGGCTGGGAAGACTGAATCTGCAATAGGTAAGCAGCTTGGTTTGAAGAAATCAACTGTGGGAGCAATTATTAGGAAATGGAAGGCATACAAGACCACTGATAATCTCCCTCAATCTGGGGCTCCACGAAAGATCTCACCCCGTGGGGTCAAAATGATCACAAGACCGGTGAGCAAAAATCCCAGAACCACACGGGGGGACCTAGTGAATGACCTGCAGAGAGCTGGGACCAAAGTAACAAAGCCTACCATCAGTAACACACTACGCCGCCAGGGACTTAAATCCTGCAGTGCCAGACGTGTCCCCCTGCTTAAGCCAGTACATGTCCAGGCCCGTGCTAGCGTGCATTTGGATGATCCAGAAGAGGATTGGGAGAATGTCATATGGTCAGATGAAACCAAAATAGAACTTTTTGGTAAAAACTCAACTCGTTGTGTTTGGAGGACAAAGAATGCTGAGTTGCATCCAAAGAACACCATACCTACTGTGAAGCATGGGGGTGGAAACATCATGCTTTGGGGCTGTTTTTCTGCAAAGGGACCAGGACGACTGATTCGTGTAAAGGAAAGAATGAATGGGACCATGTATGGTGAGATTTTGAGTGAAAACCTCCTTCCATCAGCAAGGGCATTGAAGATGAAACGTGGCTGGGTCTTTCAGTATGACAATGATCCCAAACACACCGCCCGGGCAACGAAGGAGTGGCTTCGTAAGAAGCATTTCAAGGTCCTGGAATGGCCTAGCCAGTCTCCAGATCTCAACCCCATATAAAATCTTTGGAGGGAGTTGAAAGTCCGTGTTGCCCAGCGACAGCCCCAAAACATCACTGCTCTAGAGGAGATCTGCATGGAGGAATGGGCCAAAATACCAGCAACAGTGTGTGAAAACCTTGTGAAGACTTACAGAAAACGTTTGACCTGTGTCATTGCCAACAAAGGGTATATAACAAAGTATTGAGAAACTTTTGTTATTGACCAAATACTTATTTTCCACCATAATTTGCAAATAAATTCATTAAAAATCATACAATGTGATTTTCTGGATTTTTTTTCCTCATTTTGTCTGTCATAGTTGACGTGTACCTATGATGAAAATTACAGGCCTCTCTCATCTTTTTAAGTGGGAGAACTTGCACAATTGGTGGCTGACTAAATACTTTTTTTCCCCACTGTATATATATATATATACACAGTGAGGGAAAAAAGTATTTGATCCCCTGCTGATTTTGTACGTTTGCCCACTGACAAAGACATGATCAGTCTATAATTTTAATGGAAGGTTTATTTGAACAGTGAGAGACAGAATAATAAAAAATTAATAATAATAAAAATAAAGAATAACAAAATACAAATCCAGAAAACGCATGTTATGAATTGATTTGCATTTTAATGAGGGAAATTAGTATTTTACCCCTCTGCAAAACATGACTTAGTACTTGGTGGCAAAACCCTTGTTGACAATCACAGAGGTCAGATGTTTCTTGTAGTTGGCCACCAGGTTTGCACACATCTCAGGAGTGGTTTTGTCCCACTCCTCTTTGCAGATCTTCTCCAAGTCATTAAGGTTTCGAGGCTGACGTTTGGCAACTCAAACCTTCAGCTCCCTCCACAGATTTTCTATGGGATTAAGGTCTGGAGACTGGCTAGGCCACTCCAGGACCTTAATGTGCTTCTTCTTGAGCCACTCCTTTGTTGCCTTGGCCGTGTGTTTTGGGTCATTGTCATGCTGGAATACCCATCCACGACCCATTGTCAATGCCCTGGCTGAGGGAAGGAGGTTCTCACCCAAGATTTGACGGTACATGGCCCCGTCCATCGTCCCTTTGATGCGGTGAAGTTGTCCAGTCCCCTTAGCAGAAAAACACACCCAAAGCATAATGTTTCCACCTCCATGTTTGACGGTGGGGATGGTGTTCTTGGGGTCATAGGCAGCATTCCTCCTCCTCCAAACACGGCGAGTTGAGTTGATGCCAAAGAGCTCCATTTTGGTCTCATCTGACCACAACACTTTCACCCAGTTCTCCTCTGAATCATTCAGATGTTCATTGGCAAACTTCAGACGGGCCTGTATATGTGCTTTCTTGAGCAGGGGGACCTTGCGGGCGCTGCAGGATTGCAGTACTTCACGGCGTAGTGTGTTACCAATTGTTTTCTTGGTGACTATGGTCCCAGCTGCCTTGAGATCATTGACAAGATCCTCCTGTGTAGTTCTGGGCTGATTCCTCACCGTTCTCATGATCATTGCACCTCCACGAGGTGAGATCTTGCATGGAGCCCCAGGCCGAGGGAGATTGACAGTACTTTTGTGTTTCTTCCATTCTCACCAAGCTGCTTGGCGATGGTCTTGTAGCCCATTCCAGCCTTGTGTAGGTCTACAATCTTGTCCCTGACATCCTTGGAGAGCTCTTTGGACTTGGCCATGGTGGAGAGTTTGGAATCTGATTGATTGATTGCTTCTGTGGACAGGTGTCTTTTTATACAGGTAACAAACTGAGATTAGGAGCACTCCCTTTAAGAGTGTTCTCCTAATCTCAGCTCGTTACCTGTATAAAAGACACCTGGGAGCCAGAAATATTTCTGATTGCGAGGGTCAAATACTTATTTCCCTCATTAAAATGCAAATCAATTTATAACATTTTTGACATGCGTTTTTCTGGTTTTGTTGTTGTTATTCTGTCTCTCACTGTTCAAATAAACCTAGCATTAAAATTATAGACTGATAATTTCTTTGTCAGTGGGCAAACTTACATAATCAGCAGGGGATCAAATACATTTTTCCCTCACTGTACATACATGCATACATACAGTACCAGTCAAAAATTTGGACACACCTACTCATTCCAGGGCTTTTCTTTATTTTTACTATTTTTTACATTATAGAATAATAGTGAAGACATCAAAACTATGAAATAACACATATGGAATCTTGTAATAATAATAATAATATGCCATTTAGCAGACGCTTTTATCCAAAGCGACTTAGTCATGCGTGCATACATTTTTGTGTATGGGTGGTCCCGGGGATCGAACCCACTACCTTGGCGTTACAAGCGCCGTGCTCTACCAGCTGAGCTACAGAGGACCAACAAAGTGTTAAACAAATCAAAATATGTTTTGTATTTGAGATTCTTCAAAATAGCCACCCTTTGCCTTGATGACAGCTTTGCACACTATTGGCATTCTCTCAACCAGATTAATGAGGTAGTCACCTGGAATGCATTTCAATTAACAGGTGTGCCTTGTTAAAAGTTAATTGGTCGAATTTCTTTCCTTCTTAATGCATTTGAGCCAATCACTTTTGTTGTGACAAGGTAGGGGGGGTGTATACAGAAGATAGCCCTATTTGGTAAAAGACCAAGTCCATATTAGGGCAAGAACAGCTCAAATAATCAAAGAGAAATGACAGTCCATCATTACTTTAAGACATGAAGGTCAGTCAATCCAGAAAATTTGAAGAACTTTAAAAGTTTATTTAGGTGCAGTTGCAAAACCCATCAAACGCTATGATGAAACTGGCTCTCATGAGGACCATGAAGCATGGAGGAGGAGGTGTTATGGTGTGGGGGTGCTTTGCTGTTGACACTGTCTGTGATTTATTTAGAATTCAAGGCACACTTACCAGCATGGCTACCACAGCATTCTGCAATGATACGCCATCCCATCTGGTTTTGGCTTAGTGGGACAATCATTTTGTTTTTCAGCAGGACAATGATCCAACACACCTTCAGGCTGTGTAAGGGCTATTTGACCAAGAAGGAGAGTGATTGAGTGCTGCATCAGATGACCTGGCCTCCACAATCCCCCGACCTCAACCCAATTGAGATGGTTTGGGATGAGTTGGACCGCAGAGTGAAGGAAAAGCAGCCAACAAGTGCTCAGCATATATGGGAACTCCTTCAAGACTGTTGGAAAAGCATTCCAGGTGAAACTGGTTGAGAGAATGCCAAGAGTGTAGAAAACTGTAATCAAGGCAAAGGGTGGCTACTTTGAAGAATCTCAAGTATAAAATATATTTTGATTTGTTTAACACTTTTTGGGTTACTACATGATTCCATATGTGTAATTTCATAGTTTCATTATCTTCACTATTATTGTACAATGTAGAAAATAGTAAAAATAAAGAAAAACCCTGGAATGAGTAGGTGTCCAAACTTTCGCTATATATATTTATATTTTTTTAGTTAGTAAATACTTTCTTAAAACTGCATTGTTGGGCTTGTAAGTAAGCATTTCACCGTAAGGTCTACACATGTTGTATTCGGCGCATGTGACAAATAAAATGTGATTTGATTTCAACCAGTGGGTACTATAAGCACCAGGTTAATAGTGATTATTTGCAGGAATGTAAGCAAACTCAAAGGCCTATCCGTTCGACTATGAGCACACTGTGTATCTACTGTACATGCATGTAGCCTTAATTGCAGATATTTTGTTGCACTGCTTATGACAGTATCCAGTCTGAGGTTTGTTAGCCCATCAGTATGTGATGCTCAGGTATGTTCTCTGTCTTGTTTTACAGTCGCGCAGTGTGGACAAGCAGCATGCTGTCGTCAACTACAGCCCAGCCACAGACGAGCATATGGTGAAGGACCTGGGCAGCCTGAACGGGGTGAGTCCATGTACCCTCCTTGTCCCCTGCATACAAGTTAAATAAAGGATCCAGCCAGCCACAGCCCTCCCTGGAGGGTCCAGAGGCCCACTACCAGTCCCCCAGGCCCAAGCACAAAAGAGCCCTCTCTGTGCCAGAGATGGTTGTTAGAGCAGCAATGAGCACTGCATTTTCTGCTGTCCTGGGCCTTTTCTTCTGGTCTCTCTCTCGCTCTCTCTTCTTCTGGTGTCTCTCTCTCACTCTCTCTTCTTCTGGTGTCTCTCTCTCGCTCTCTCTTCTTCTGGTCTCTCTCTCTCCTTCTGGTCTCTCTCTCTTTTCTTCTGGTGTCTCTCTCTCTCTCTTTTCTTCTGGTGTCTCTCTCTCTCTCTCTCTTCTTCTGGTCTCTCTCTCTCTCGCGCTCTCTTCTTCTGGTGTCCCTCTCGCTCTCTTCTTCTGGTGTCCCTCTCTCGCTCTCTTCTTCTGGTGTCTCTCTCTCTTTTCTTCTGGTGTCTCTCTCTCTCATTTCTTCTGGTGTCTCTCTCTCTCATTTCTTCTGGTCTCTCTCTCTCATTTCTTCTGGTCTCTCTCTCTCTCGCTCTCTCTTCTTCTGGTCTCTCTCTCTCTCGCTCTCTCTTCTTCTGGTGTCTCTCTCTCTTCTTCTGGTGTCTCTCTCTCTCCTTCTGGTCTCTCTCTCTCTCCTTCTGGTCTCTCTCTCTCTCTCTCCTTCTGGTCTCTCTCTCTTCTTCTGGTGTCTCTCTCTCGCTCTCTCTTCTTCTGGTGTCCCTCTCTTTCTTTTCTTCTGGTCTCTCTCTCTCTCTCTCTCTCTCTCTTTTCTTCTGGTGTCTCTCTCTTGCTCTCTCTTCTTCTGGTGTCTCTCTCGCTCTCTCTTCTTCTGGTAGTGGGTTCGATCCCCGGGACCATCCATACACAAAAATGTATGCACACATGACTGTAAGTCGCTTTGGATAAAAGCGTCTGCTAAATGGCATATTATTATTTTATTATTATTATTTATTTTCTTCTGGTGTCTCTCTTGCTCTCTCTCTTTTCGTCTGGTGTCTCTCTTGCTCTCTCTCTTTTCTTCTGGTGTCTCGCTCTCTCCTTCAACATAGATGGCCATTTACATAACTGCATAATCTCATTAATGCATTAACGTACAGGTAGGATAGCTTAACTTTCACTGGGAAAACAGCCAACTGCAAAGCATCTTAGCTTTGGCAAACCCCAGAGGCTGTGTGTGCAAGGAAATGACCTGGAACTAACTCATTTATCATCAGTGTCTGTTATTAGTCCAATGGAATTAAACTAATCAGGATTGTTGTGAAAACATAATTCCTGTGTGTAGATTTTTCTGAAGCTTTCAATGTAAACACACAAAAAAACTAACTTTATTTATTTTCTCCCCAGACTTTTGTGAATGATCTGAGAATCCCAGACGAGACTTACATCACCCTGAAGCTCTCTGATGTCATCCGCTTTGGATATGATATCCTTTTGTTTATCTGATAATGATTTTGTAATTTTCTTAGTGTTTTATTGATTCTTCATTGATTAGGGATTTTCTTGATTGGATCAAAAGGATGCATACTTTTTAACCTCTGAGTGCTCTGTTGTAATTATTTCTTACAAACAATTGGATTTCATAAAGTTTTGTCTACAATAGCTGTTAGAAAGCAATTTAAAACATTCATTTTCTTCTTCCTCTGTGGTTTGTGCACCAAACTCTCCCAGCATATTAATTCCTTGTGGTTTGAGTCAGGGGTTTTAGATTATGTTCAACTCCGGACTGAAAATCTTTTGGACCCGTGAACCTCTGAGCTGAAAAACATGAATAGTGAAATTTAGTTTAGATAACAGGGAGAAAAGCTGCTTAAAGGTAGACATTTAGACATGTCACATGTCTCAGAGTTGTCAGAAAGTTAGAGCTTCAAGGAATGCATAGGCTAATAATTAGACAAGATAGCAAGTGTCAGTGACATGTATTATTTATTCTAACCCAATGGCTCCTGTCAGAATATGCCTTCCTTAGCTCTGCTTCCACATTGTCATGTGTACATCCTGGAGAGGAGTCAACACAAGGTGCCAGAGGAGGCTCTCAAAGTAAGTGCGAACTTCCACACATGTACATATCATCTATGAATATGAGTGATTGTCAGGTAGGGGCTTCTTCATATCCTACTTTCCTCTTGTGTTTATTAGCATGAGAAGTACACCAGCCAGCTGCAGATGAGTGTGGAGACCCTGGAGGCCAGGAAGAGAGAGAAGGAGAGGCAGCATGCTAAGGAGAAGACCAGAGACTCATCCTGCTTCAAACAGGAGAAAGCCGAGCATAAAGCTGCCCTCGCAGCAGGTAAAACCCTGTTTAACTCGCAACTTCAAGTCTGCCCCAGTCCACCTCTTGTTGTCCTTTTCTTCTAGCGCCCACAGTATAGGTGCTATCCTATATTATAGACCAGGCCTAGGCATTTTCTCTGCAAGGTCAAAAATTATAGCAAATACAATTGATTAACTTAACTGTTTGTCTTGTCACAAACAGTACCAGTAAATACCAGTCTGTTATGCCTTAGGTAAAAGATAGCTGCTGATGTCGGTTTCAATATCTTATTTACATGAGGAAGAAGAAGAAGAAGCCTTTTATACCACAAACTGTTAGAGGATCTGTTAAGATGTACACAGCTCTCCTTGTTAAGCGCACCCCTAGTGTGCGATCAAGCTACCTTGTGAGGGGATCGGGTCAAAGGTTCAATCCAGTAGGGTCAGACGCGCAGCATTACTAGTGTGGAACTCCAGTTGGCAGGGTGAGTGAAATTATATTGGGCTTGCCTGCTGAGCATGTTGAGCTGGGACAGATAAAGTCTTATGTCTGTCTGCCATGCCTCTGGACTGGGGCTGACCCCAGGGAGGCAGGTAGCTTAGTGGTTAAGAGCGTTGTGCCAGTAACCGAAAGGTTGCTGGTTCTAATCCCCGAACCGACTAGGTGAAAAATCTGTCGATGTGCCCTTGAGCAAGGCACTTAACCCTAATTGCTCCTGTAAGTCGCTCTGGATAAGAGCGTCTGCTAAATGACCAATTTATTTATTATTATTATTATTTACTCCTGGTGGTGCTAGCACGTGCACTAGAAGGATTAGAAAGGTGCGTGCGTGCGTGCGTGCGGCTGTGTTTTTCGTGCCAAGCGGGCACTGCTGTTAGGGGGATTGTGGATTTGCTGTCTCACTCACCGTACAGTCACAGTACTTACAGGTGTCCCTCTGTCCTCAGCTCTGCTTTTGGGCTACATCTTTTGGGATTTTATATGGTTTACAGTGCAGTTAGGTTCCTAAAGCACCGAGGGGTGTACTCGGCAAGGGAATGCAGGGGTGGACCATCACTAGTGGCTTTAACTACTGACAGTCACAAGGTTATGACACTACAGACCTCCAGCCATTAACACTTAGTTTAGAGGTTTACGTTCAGCCTCCTCCTCTCCCACTCTGCCTGTATGTGATGGGTTAATGTAGCTACTGACTGATTCCTTATGTAGCTACTGACTGATTCCTTATTTCCTTCTGAAGCAGCTGGACTGGTGAGGTGACCACAGTGACAGCACAGTGTCAGGGTCCCCACCCTGTTCAGACATTGAGGCTGTGAGCAGGATATGTGTCTGTTTTTCCTGCAGCCTTGCAAGGTGTGGACTGTGGAGCCTGACCTCCTGCTGCTGCCTGTCTGTAAAGCAGTCTGCTGGCTCTCTGAGTGTACAGTAGGCCTGGGTGTGACTGTAGTCTAACCTGACAGGACCTAGGGCTACTCACTGTTTCCACCATAGACATTACAGTAACTGTCCACTGTTTCCAGATTTTTTTGAAATATGACCTATAATGAATAACAATATGAGTAAAATTGTTTCCCTAATTATGTTAAAAAGCAGCTTTTCTGTGTTGGAATGGTGTGTGTGCATACCCCAACAACAGAATGGTGTGGGTGTATAACAGTCATTAAAAATATTAATACAAATAGTATTTAGATGGACTGAGAAGCTCAGTTTTGGTGACTTTTTAAAATAACATTCTAGTCCAAAATGAATGAAAATAAAAGTATGCTGACACCATCTAAAATATAATTTCCACCTCCAGAAATGAGCCCAATAACACATAGTAAAATTAGTGAATTTCTATTTTTACATATTAGGCCATGTAAATAGCCTATGCATGGTCCACATTATCAGGTAGGCTATGCCTGTAGCCCAACTGATGCAGCAAAGTGCAAATAAATAGGCTGAAGCATGGGGTTACCTATCAGCATTTATCCTATTTGGCTAATCATTAGGCAGATCCCAAATGTGATCTTTTAACTATTGTAGTTATTATCCTATTGATAAATGTTATGTCCCACAAAACTTGCTTAAACACAGTGAATATAATGTAGGCCTACCTGTTAGGGTAACTTGGGGTAACACGCCCCCTACCTGTACTTCTCACAGAAACCACTTTGTCACAATTTTTCCCCCAACACTTCCCTAGTTGCCACTACTTTTGCGCAACCAAAAATATTGCCTCATCACAGTTTAAGTAACTCCCCCCCCAAAAATTTTTTGGGGTAGAGTGGCGTTGTACTCCAAGCTACCCTACAATTGGTATTACATTTATCCCCACTCGCCCCTATGCACTCACTGCAAATTGCAGAGCAGTAACATGCTTAACCATACTGCTGCTAAAAACTCTGGGTTTAAAATGGTGCAGTTCGTGCATATTTAGGAGTTGAGAAATAAATAAAGTAGGAATGGAAAGCTGGGATCCCCCTCTTTTTAACAAAGGCCATTAAAGCTGCTGTTTTCGCGATTGCAAGAATTGTTGTGCATTGACTGCTTGTCTGACTGCTTGTCAGAATGCATGTTTCCCTCCCTATGGCACTCATAACTTGAATGCGCCACAAGAGGAATATTTATCTCGTGTAGAACACACAGCAACAAGCCTACTAGGTAAGTAGATAAATCAGACATCCCCATAGTATAGTAGTTTTTTTGTTCATTACTCATTTTGTTTGCAGAGGAAAAGTACATGTGTACTGTTCTAGCATCTTCAAAGTGCGCCTCAGCAGAAATATTTTTTATGTACCAAAATGAGTGTAGCAGAAACACTGAATCAGCTATTCCCAGGCCCTAGACCAAGCAGGGAGAGGGGCCTTCTGTTATAAATGTGGTCACCTGATACACAATACACAATCCTCCTGGGAGGAGAATGAGACTGGACACTGCAAATCCTAATCTTCAATAAAGGGAGGACAACAACAACACTGGCCTGCAGAGTTTACAGTGACTCATCTCTCCAGAGCAGAACATTGAGACAAACTGCTATAACCTTCCATCTACAGTACACTGAGTGTATAAAGCATTAGGAAAACCTGCTCTTTCCATGACAGACTGACCAGGTCAATCCAGGTGAACGCTATTATCCCTTATTGCCACTTGAAATGTTTAAGCCTCGAGACAATCGAGACATTAATTGTGTATGTGTACCATTGAGGGTGAATGGGCAAGATAAAATATTTCAGTGCCTTTTGAACAGGGTATGGTAGTTAGGTGCCAGGCACACCGGTGTGTCAAGAACTGCAACGCTGCTGGGTTTTTCATGCTCAACAGTTACCTGTGTGTATCAAGAATGGTCTTGACACAACTGTAGGCTGCATTGGAGTCAACATGGGCCAGCATCCCTGTGGAATGCTTTCGACACCTTGTAGAGTCCATACCCTGACGAATTGAGGCTGTTCTGAGGGCGGAAGGCTGAATGCATACATGAGTCAATGTGTTGGACGAGATGGGTCCCATTATGTCTGGCGAAAACCAAACACTGCATTCCACAATAAGAACCTCAAATGGTCAAGCATGGTGGTAGTAGTGTGATGGTTTGGGGATGCTTTGCTGCCTCAGGACCTGGATGACTTGCCTTAATAGAAGGAACCATGAATTATCCTCTGTATCAGAAGCTGAAGCGCAGCTGGGTCATGCAGCAAGACAATGATCCAAAACACACAATCAAATCTACATGAAAATGGCTAAAAAGCAACAAATTTGAAGTTTTGGAATGGCCTAGTCAAAGTCCAGACCTAATCCCAATTGAGATGTTGTGGCAGGACTTGAAACGAGCAGTTCATGCTTGAAAACCGACAAATGTCGCTTAGTTAAAGCAGTTCTGCATGCAAGAGTGGGTCAAAATTCCTCCACAGGGATGTGACAGATTAATCAACTACAGGAATAATTTGGTTGCAGTCATTGCAGCTTTTTTACACAGGGGAATTGGGTGTCGCCAAACTTTGTTAATTAAATAAATAAAATATGTAGATTTTTTTTGTTATTTGTAAACTCAGGTTTGTAAACTCAGGTTCCCTTTATCTAATATTATGTTTTAGTTGAAGATCTGATAACATTCAGTAAGAGTGGTCAAAATTCCTGCACAGGCATGTGTACAGATTATCCTGGTGAATAATTTTTGCAGCCTTTGCCGCTTTACCGGGAGATTGGGTGTCGCCAAACTTGGCCCATGTAGTAATAAATATGTAGATTTTTTGTTATTTGTAAACTCAGTTTGTAACTCAGGTTCCCTTTATCTATATTACGTGGGGCAGTATAAGATTGATAACATATGTATCAAAAATTAGCTCTGAAAGGGGGATACTTTTTCAAGCACTACATAATTAAATTATACATACATACATACATAATCATGATTGATCCATATTAATATGTATTTATCCATCTGAGCAGTAAGGGCACTAGGACAGATTTCCTGTCACCTTCATTGCTGTGATGACGTTTAACAGCTGGCTGGCCAGCTCGGGATGCTAGCCTATATGGCATAAATCAGATTATCCACATGCCTGGTGTCTGGTTGAAAACTAAACAGCTCCATTGGGGCTCTCTCACACTGGCCTAAATAAACCAAAGTACTACAACTCCAAAGTGCTGTTGCCCAGGACACACAATAAGACATCAACAGAGAGAGAGAGCGAGAGGGGGAGGAACAGAAGGGCACGTCACTAATTCCATTTGGTTTACCCAATGCTTCATTTCTAGTTACACAGGATGGATGACACACCTAAAATAGCTTGTGTACCGTCTATAGAAGGCCTACTGCATTGCCACAGAGCCAATAAAGTTTTCTATGTCAGCATGCATCAGGAATGATGAACTTTAAATGCAGAGTCCACCTCAAGTAGTAGAGTGGAGACCAGTGTTTCCGCTGCACTCATTTTGCTGTGGAACATGAAAAAATATCTCTGCTGAGGCGCACTTTGAAGATGCTAGAACAGTACACATTTCCTTTTCCTCTACAAACAAAAAGAGTAGAAAAATCAGACAACCCCATTGTAGAATAGTTTATATACAGTGGGGAGAACAAGTATTTGATACACTGCCGATTTTGCAGGTTTTCCTACTTACAAAGCATGTAGAGGTCTAATTTTTATCATAGGTACACTTCAACTGTGAGAGACGGAATCTAAAACAAAAATCCAGAAAATCACATTGTATGATTTTTAAGTAATTCATTTGCATTTTATTGCATGACATAAGTATTTGATACATCAGAAAAGCAGAACTTAATATTTGGTACAGAAACCTTTGTTTGCAATTACAGAGATCATACGTTTCCTGTAGGTCTTGACCAGGTTTGCACACACTGCAGCAGGGATTTTGGCCCACTCCTCCATACAGACCTTCTCCAGATCCTTCAGATTTCGGGACTGTCGCTGGGCAATACGGACTTTCAGCTCCCTCCAAAGATTTTCAATTGGGTTCAGGTCTGGAGACTGGCTAGGCCACTCCAGGACCTTGAGATGCTTCTTACGGAGCCACTCCTTGTTGCCCTGGCTGTGTGTTTCGGGTCGTTGTCATGCTGGAAGACCCAGCCACGACCCATCTTCAATGCTCTTACTGAGGGAAGGAGGTTGTTGGCTAAGATCTCGCGATACATGGCCCCATCCATCCTCCCCTAAATACGGTGCAGTCGTCCTGTCCCCTTTGCAGAAAAGCATCCCCAAAGAATGATGTTTCCACCTCCATGCTTCACGGTTGGGATGGTGTTCTTGGGGTTGTACTCATCCTTCTTCTTCCTCCAAACACGGCGAGTGGAGTTTAGACCAAAAAGCTCTATTTTTGTCTCATCAGACCACATGACCTTCTCCCATTCCTCCTCTGGATCATCCAGATGGTCATTGGCAAACTTCAGACGGGCCTGGACATGCGCTGGCTTGAGCAGGGGGACCTTGCGTGCGCTGCAGGATTTTAATCCATGACGGCGTAGTGTGTTACTAATGGTTTTCTTTGAGACTGGTCCCAGCTCTCTTCAGGTCATTGACCAGGTCCTGCCGTGTAGTTCTGGGCTGATCCCTCACCTTCCTCATGATCATTGATGCCCCACGAGGTGCGATCTTGCATAGAGCCCCAGACCGAGGGTGATTGACCGTCATCTTGAACTTCTTCCATTTTCTAATAATTGCGGCAACAGTTGTTGCCTTCTCACCAAGCTGCTTGCCTATTGTCCTGTAGCCCATCCCAGCCTTGTGCAGGTCTACAATTTTATCCCTGATGTCCTTACACAGCTCTCTGGTCTTGGCCATTGTGCAGAGGTTGGAGTCTGTTCGATTGAGTGTGTGGGCAGGTGTCTTTTATACAGGTAACGAGTTCAAACAGTTAATACAGGTAATGAGTGGAGAACAGGAGGGCTTCTTAAAGAAAAACTAACAGGACTGTGAGAGCCGGAATTCTTACTGGTTGGTAGGTGATCAAATACTTATGTCATGCAATAAAATGCAAATTAATAACTTAAAAATCATACAATGTGATTTTCTGGATTCCGTCTCTCACAGTTGAAGTGTACCTATGATAAAAATTACAGACCGCTACATGCTTTGTAAGTAGGAAACCTGCAAAATCGGCAGTGTTTCAAATACTTGTTCTCCCCACTGTACTTACCTAGTCGGCTTGTTGTTGTGTGTTCAATGCAAGATAATGATTCCTCTCGTGGCGCATTCAAGTTATGAGTGCCATAGGGAGGGAAACAATGCATTCTGACAAGCAGTCCAATGCACAACAATTCTTGCAATCGCGAAAACAGCCGTTTTAATGGCCTTTGTTAAAAGAGGGGGATCCCAGCTTTCTCTTCCTACTTTATTTATTTCTCAACTCCTAAATACAGTATGCGCGAACTGCACCATTTTAAACCCTGAGTTTTTAGCAGCTGCATGGTTAAGCATGTTACCACTCTGCAATTTGCAGTGAGCGCAAAGGGGAGAGTGGGGCTAAATGTAACACTGGTCAATTGTAGGGTAGCTTGGGGTACAACGCCACCCTACCTAAAACATTTTTGGGTGGGGTAGTGACTTAAAAAATGGTGATAAGACAGATATCTTTAGTTGAGCAAGAGTAGTGGCAACCAGGGAAAGTGTTGGGGGGAAAATGGTGACATGAAGTGGTTTCTGTGAGAAGTACAGGTAGGGGGCGTGTTACCCTAACAGGTAGGCCTACATTATATTCAGTGTTTATGCACGTTTTTTGGGACATAAATTTCATCAATAGGATAATAACTAGTTAAAAGATCACATTTGGGATCTGGCTAATGATTAGCCAAATAGGATAAATGCTGATAGGTAACCCCATGCTTCAGCCTATTTATTTGCACTTTGCTGCGTCAGTTGGGCTACAGGCATAGCCTACCTGATAATATGGACCCTGCATAGGTTATATACATGGCCCAATATGTTAAAATAATTTAAAATATATAATTTTACCAATGTGTTATTGGGCTCATTTCTGGAGGTGAAAATTGTTTTAAATGGTGTCAGCATACTTTTATTTTCATTCATTTTGGAGGATGATGTCCTTTTTAAAAAGCCACTAGAACTGAGCTTCTCAGCCCCCCCCCAACTCACCTCAGTGACCTTTTCCCCCCACTGCTACAAAGCTTTCCAGAGGAAACACTGAGCTGATTCTTCTCTGTTCTCTGATCTTGTTCTCTCTCTGTCCATGTGTGTGTTTCTGTTAGTGGCCAGCGAGGCTCCGGTGTCCAGGCCTACTCCTCTGTATGGACAGCCGTCGTGGTGGGGGGAGGATGATGCTGAACACAGTGAAGGACAGCGGCCAGACGAGGACCCTGCAGGTCTGGAACAAACATTACTATTACTCGATCAATTCATTTGTTGATCAGGATATGTATGAGTGAGTGTGCCACTTTGAAAGAGGCCTGGCATTTTAGTATTTTTTTAGTCATTTTAGCAGACACTCTTATCCAGAGTGACTTACAGTTAATGACTGCATACATTTTCATACTGGCCCCCCGTGGGAAACGAACCCTCAACCCTGGCGTTGCAAGCGCCATGCTCTACCAACTGAGCTACAGGGGACTACAGTATTGTTATTAGCTGTGCTGGCTCATAAAGGTTACAGCCCTTGTATTTGATTAGAGTGGCAAACATAACACTTTGTTACGGCACCACATCAGTGTTGGATGCAGTGTACTAAGAGATGAATGGTGTTTAGCTCTGTGTAAGCTCTGTAGTTCCCACTGGTGACAGGGAGCTGCCAGTGTCACACTGAGCCAAGCCAGTCCAGGACCATGTCAGGCCAGTGGGCAGCGCCTCGTGATGGATTACCCTGTAAACCCAGGGGACAGGGTAGAGGAGGGAGCGTGACTGTTAGCCTCGCTGGAACAGATTACCTCTCAGCCACTCTCCTTTGGGACTCCAAGCTCCCACAGTGACATTTTTCCACGTCCAGCTGGCCTGGCACCCACTGATTGGCTGATGTATTTGTTTGTTAGCTCCAGCAGCTAGACTGAGCAATGTTGTTATTTGTGGCTTCAGCTTTAGAGAAAATACTTGGCAGAGACAGATTTTTTTTTTCTCTGTTTTCCTTGACTGGTGTAGTATGTCACAGTTGTTGGTTCTCCCCGGTAATATTTCATTAGAGTAGTGTCTATGATTCTTTCCCTTACCCACCTCACATACTGCATGTCCTTTGTGCCTGCAGTTTACAGTATTGGCCTATATAGTATTGATCTATATAGACCTACTGTCTTCCCACTGTGTCTGCCCCCACAGAGAATACTAAAGAGGGCTCCAGACATGAGGTCAACGGCTCCCTGTCAGACAGCCAGGCCAAGACAAACTACTCACACCACAGGGAGCTAAGCTACTTTGAGATTCCCACCAATCAGTTCCAGCAGCGGGAGCTCCATGAGGTTCCCACTAAGGACACTGACCCCCCTGCTGGCCCTGTCCCTGTTCTCCCCCCAGCACCCACCTCCACCCCCACACCTCCTGTGGTGCAGAGCCACGCCTCCTTCACCATCGAGTTTGACGAATGCACACCGGGCAAGATCAAGGTCAAGGACCATGTGACCAAGTTTTCCTTCCGCCAGCAACACAAGCTCCCGGGTAAGGAGGCATTGACAGCGCCCACTGAGGTGATGTCAACGGAGAGCAAGGTGGCTGATTGGCTGGTCCAAAGCGACGTGAGAATGATGAGGAGGAGGTCTCGGACGGAGGACATGTTCAGCACAAAGAGTGAGCTGCCCATCTACAACGAGGCTTCTACAGGTAAACACTCTGACCATTTATACACTGAATCCACTGTCACTATCCTCTGTTGCTGTCTGAGAGCTAACGTGTTTCTGTTTTTATAATCAGGCCACCATTATGAGGCTATCCAATTAAAGCCACCGATGGGCCTTCACATGTCTCTACCACCCCAGCTGGCCCCACCGAGACCCTTCACCCACCCTGACTCAGAGGAGCCTCTGTCCAGCTCCCCTCCAGAGTCTCACTCCCCTTCTCAGAGCCAGGACAAAGCAGACCCCCAGCAGGCCTTCGTCATCGAGTTCTTTGACGACAATCCACGCAAGAAGCGTTCACAGTCCTTCACCAACAACACAGCCCAGCTTGACAGCCCAGGCATCAGGAACAAGCTGGAGAAAAGGTGCGGCCCCAGCACCCCCACCCAGCAGTACACCATTCCCTTGAAGGGTGCAGGTTCTGGAGGCCCGCAGAGGGCCGGCTCCCTGAGGAGGGAGAAGATGGAGGATCGGATCAGTAACGGCTTCTCCTCCCGCTCCATCCCTCTCAGGCCCTTTAGAAGTGTGGGCCGCAGGTCCAAGCTGGCCCAGGACTTCACGGCTGAGTTGCTGAGGGAGTCCAGACAGGAGTCTAGGCCTAGCATCAACACAACCTGGGAGAGGAATACTTCAACTGTGTCTCCTACCACCAGCCCTTCACCAACAGTAGTGGCAGCAGCCCCCCATTCCCACCAGACCCCACCAAGCCCCCCTCAGCCCCCTGTTCCATACCTGACTCAGACCTCCTCCCCTGTCCACCAGTCTGTGCCCCTAAAAGCCCCTCTGATGCCCAAGGCCCCACGCCCCATGGAGGCCCCACGCCCCATGGAGGCCCCACGCCCCATGGAGGCCCCACGCCCCATGGAGGCCCCACGCCCCATGGAGGCCCCACGCCCCATGGAGGCCCCACACCCCATGGAGGCCCCACGCGGCCTGGAGGCCCCAAGCCCCACGCAGCCTGGAGGCCTGGGGAATGAGGAGGATGATACCTTGAGTGAAGCAGGCACCTACACCATCGAGACGGAGGTCCAGGATAAAGAGGTGGAGGAGGCACGCAGCAAGATAGAACTGGCAAGTCTCTTCGCCTTACTCTCTGTAGTAGTCAGTCATTCTCTGTAGTCGTCTGTCATTCTCTGTAGTCGTCTGTCATTCTCTGTAGTCGTCTGTCATTCTCTGTAGTCATCTGTCATTCCCTGTAGCCGTCTTATCTCTCCAAGTTTGTTTAATATCACACCTTGTCATTCCATGTGCTTCACCATGAGATAACCTGCCTTGTCAAGTATTGGACAGCGATGCTATCTAACACAAGCCAACATGAGTGTCACACAGGAGAGCCAGTGGATGTGGCAGCCTCCAGCCCTGTAGAGACAGCATTCACACTCACACATCATGCTTTGTTCCTGACAGGTGTTTGGTGTTGTTGAGGGGCCAGAGCAGCCCAGCCAGACTGCAGCAGCAGCATATAAGCCTGTTGAGTATCAGGACAGGGAGGAGTGTAGAGAGAGTAGCTCGGTGGATCTGAGGCCAGCTCCAGGGCAGGGACAGAATCTGGTGCAGGTAAACCCCCAGCCGGGCTCAGTGTGGTGACACATTCCCACAGCTAACCAATCAACAATCAGTCAATTTAATCGATTGATAAATCAATCAGTCTGCTGGTTCAATAAGCTTTCTGCCCTGGAAGCACAATTCTGCATGTTCTGGTCTTTCATGATTCTCCATGGTTCTCATCTCCCTCTTAGATCTTTAGTTGTTTCTGGGGATGTTGGTGTTGTAGTTCTTTACTTCCGACTGGGTTTGGGTGTGTCCAACTGGTTCTCTGGTGGTGTCCTTGGTTTCTATCTAAGGAGTGGAATGGGTGTGGCGGTAGGGATGTTGGATTTCTGCTGTCATAAAATGTAATTTTCAGATATAAAAACTATCCCAACATCCCAAGCTGTAAATGTGTTTATTCGCCAAATAGATTTTTCAATCATCAAATATAATTTCTGGAACGTGATTGTGTTATTTTTCCTTATATTTTAAGCCTGATTGTGTTTGACTACTGTCGAGACATGTGAATAACTAGTGTGATCCTCCCTGCAGGTACCTGGTGGCTCTAAGTGGGTGTCTCGCTGGGCCAGCCTGGCAGACAGCTACACAGACTCTGGCCCTGCCTCAGGCCTCTTCAACATCCCCTCACAGATGGACCTGTCAGGAGGAGGTAAGACACCTGATGGGAATTTGAAATGATAATGAGTTATAGTCCTGATTATCAACTTGATTAAAAATGCATCTGCCTGTTTCCATTCAGTTGGTGGGAGAACCGTCCATCAGGCGACGCTCAGTCGGAACATCAACAATGTGGAATCGGAAGGCCAGAGTTCCAGAACACAGCGGATTCTGCCTCAGGCACCGTCGATGGAGAAGAATGAGACTCCAACTCCCAGCATTCTTATCCATCAGGACACTTACTTTACCTATGATATCAAAGAGAGGAGCTCCAGAGTCCCCGGACCACAGGAGGACCTCAACAACCTGTCTGTACAGCACGACCTTGACCCAGACAGCCTGAGTGATGCCAGTAAGTCAGACGACGGCTCCATCGTGGAGCAGAGGAAGACACCCACACCAGAGACGACAGACAAGAGTTCATCTCAGAGCAGAGAAGAGGAGAGGCCCACACTCCCAGCCAAGTCTACATCATTCTACATCGGCTCTAAGGAGACTGTGTCTAAACAGGAGCAGGGATCCAGACCCAATACACCTAAGACTGAGAGAAAACCACCTCCTCCCAAGACACCACAGTTCTCCACAGCCACCCTGACCAAACAACAGGGTGGACAAGACTTACAGAAGACGATCAAGCTCAACTCATCAGCTCCCAAGCTGGACTACCAGGGCAGAGTCAGCCCTCAGCCCAAGGAGATCTCAGTGTCTCTGGTCAGGCAGGAGAGCTTCACTAAGGACCAGCCAAGTGATGCTGCCCAGGTCACCAGACTCCCTCACATCTCCAGCCAGCCTGCTCTGAGTGACCCTGACCCTGCTGAGGCGTTCCAGGGTGTCTGCAGCCAGGACACCCACTCCTACCTCAAAGGGACCGAGGACACTCTGGCTGCCCTGGAGGCCAAGCTCCAGGCCCAGCCACCTGATGTTGCTCCTCGCCCCATAGATTACTCTCTGTCTGGGGAGTCTGACATGGACTCAGCCAGCACTGCCAGCCAGCACAGCAACCAGACTGCCCCCAAGACCGGATCCAAGAAGCCCTTTATCACTAGTGGCCTTCAGAGGGAGAGGTCCTCTGCCAGCTCCTTCACCCAGGAGTCCAGTCGCCAGCAGTCAGCCCTCGATCGCCTGTCAGAGAAGCGGCGGTCCCAGGGAGTGGACATCAGCAGGAAGCCTGAACAAGACCGGAGGCTGGGGATGAGACGCTGTGCAGGAAAACATGTCTCCATGGACCTGAGTGATGACCCCCAGAGCTTCAGCTTACCCTACTGGCCTGAAACCATCTCCTCAGACCAGGAGGGCTCCCGGCCCGCTGCATGCAAGAAGTACACCGTCCCCCTGCAGAAAGAGGATTTCACTAAGTCCTCCAAAGTGACCCAGGCCCTAAGCCGCTCCAACAGCATGTCTGCCCCACGGCCCACAAGAGCTTCAATGCTTCGCCGGGCTCGCCTGGGCGAGGCGTCCGACAACGAGGGCACAGAGACGGACAGAATCTCCCAGAACTCACAGGAAGCCAGTGGGACCACCAAGGCCTCCCAGGACAGTAAGAAGCAGCTCTCCAGGCTGGACATGCTGGCTCTGCCCCGGAAGAGGACTAGCTCCTTCACCACTCCCAGTGATGCAGAGTCCTCTGCACCCAGGACAGGCTTCTCCAACCGCAGCACAGAGTCCAACAGCGGCTCTGGCCGTAAGGCCTCCGTGGCTGGGCCCAGCACTAAGCCTGCGCTAGGCAGGGCCTCTGGAGCAGGCAAGCTCATCACCCGCGTCCGCTCCAGCAGTGCCAAATACACCAGCAGCACAGCCAGTGAGTAACAGACACGCATATCACTGTCCCCTTTGCCTTTTAATATGTAATGTGATGTAGTACTGTCTTAGTTATAATTTATTACAGGTGTAAGAACCTGAAAGGTAAAACTGTTTAAATATGTCTCAGCCGTTCCTGTAATATTACAGAAATATAATGAAAGATGAAAATGACGTCTTCTGGATTGGAGGAATCAGAATTTAGGTCTGCGTAAAGGAGACAAGTCCTATTAATTATCTAGATGAATTGGTTCTGAGTGAGTTTGAGATCATTAGTTCAACTAACAAGTTATGAAGGTGCAAGCCTTGGTTGTATTCTTCTGGAGATTTGGTTTCATCAGCCATGGTTTAAAGCTCCCTGACCTTTGACTTGAAGTGCCTCCACTAACTACACTAATGCTGTATTGCTATTTGCAATTGAAATATAATCCCTTCAGTAAATTCTACTAGAATACCTGTGGTGAAGGTGGATACCATCTGCACAATGTTCTCATAATCATTATGTAATCTTCAATCATGATAACATAACTGTCTAGAACAATGTTGTGAGAATATTGTGGGTCAGATGCGGAATACCGTACTCTATCCTTTGAGTGATAATCTGTGGTTTAACTATACTTAACTACATTTCTCTCTACGTTGTGACTACTATATGACTATGGTCTTCAACAACATGATTTTGTGACAGTAGCCATTACTGTTGGGTTGAGTGCTCATCTCTGGTTGTGAATGTTTTTGAATCAAAGAAAATCCTAATGAATAGGATATAAAGAAAGTCTTAGATCTTGCATCAGTACATTTACCATCTGAATGAGCACTTCTACAAAACCCTTCTATATGGGTCTATGGGGTATATTTAGGTGTTTTGGGATATGTGGGGTTTGTAGTTTTTCTATGGTTTCCTTTCATGGTGTGTCTCTGTTTTTACCTGCCTTCCTTCTCCTCATCCTCCTAACCTTCTAACACACCCTTCAAACCAATTCATGGCTCCAAGGCTCTAGACGACGACAGAAAGGCTCTGACTGCACCTCCACCTCCGAGGAGGAGTTTGACTCTAACCAGAGCACCCCTAAACACAAACGCTCACACACCCCCTCAGCCTCCCGCTCCCAGCCTCTCATCCCCCCACGCCCCAAACCCCGCTCACGAGACTCTGACCAGGAGAGTCACGAGGGAGACGCCTACCAGAACTGGTCCTCCCACAGTGCTGAGATAGCAAGGTGAATTGAGATGGCAAGGACACAGCATTAGCCAGTTCATGCTATTGCTAAGTGCTTTAATTATCTGCACAGTAATTGAAGTGGTTCTTGAGTTTTACACTCTTGGTGGATTGCCTGAGGTATCCATCCCTATGTTGGTCTGTTCTCCCGTTCTAGACTGAGTCAGGACCTGGCTAAAGATCTGGCCATCCTTGCCAGGGAGATCCATGATGTGACTGGTGATGCTGATCCTCAGAGCTCTTCTGCAGTGGAGGCCAACACACCTGTCTCTACCATCACCGCCAGGGAGGTGGTATGTTAACCACAATGCCCAGTCACACACTGATATTTTCTTTAGCACACAATGCACTATATCCTCACCTGTCTTCACTGATTCCTGTTACAATGGCTGGAGAAGACATACACAACATATTGACCAAGAGTTTTCATTCTCTCCATGCTGTCAGACAGCACAGACATTTCTTCAGGCTGCCCAGCCTTCTCAGGTGCAGATTTATCAATTGGTTGCTCTCACATCTGTGGCCAATGCAAAACATGAATTCCACTGTCATTAATTGGGTTGTATCCATGAATTCATCTTGATTGCTGTTTCTTCCCTGTTTCCATATCAGCTACCTTATGATTGGCACATATGAGAACCATCCTTAACTGTTGAGACTGTCTGGCTCCTGTTGTATTGCAGTTGGTCCATCCCATCCCAGAGGCTGGTGTGAACTACCATAGAGTTCCTCCTGGATCCGCTGCAGCCAGGGACCCCGACCAGACCATGATGAATGACCAGGAACACAACTCTAAGCACAGAGGATGGGACCAGGAAGCGGTTAGACCATACTATTGTTCATCATACCACTTCAAGCCATTTTGAGAATGTGGAACATTATAAATAGATTCTGTCTTTTACAAATTGCTGTTCAGCCCAACTGGGTTCAGCCTTGTCTTTGTAAAATGGAGAGCTGACTGAATGTATTTGTATGTGATCTCTCTCTCCAGGTTGTTGTGGATGATCTGATGTTGAATCCAGTATCCCAGATCTCTCTGGCTATTCGAGAAAACACGGAGCAGCTAGCTGAGAAAATAAAGTATGAATTTATGCATAGGCGTGAAGCATGTTCACAATACCTTTTCTGTCTGTTCTCATACCAGAACCAGATGAGAAGTTTTATTAATCCTCTGATATGTAGTAATCTCGTTAGCTCTGCGTGACTGTCTGAGTGAGCTCAGCCTGCCAGCATGGCTAATGGACTGAGACTGAGTGGACTGTGCTGTGTTGGGCAGATAGTCGATCCTTAGGCGCTACGGGACCTTAAATATTCAGTATAGGAATTCCTCATTTGATATGTGGTTGCTCTGTCTGTACTCTAGAGTCTGTTTTTGTGCTTGCAGGGTACTATTCCACAACAAAACTGACGTTTGGGGGGAGAAGCAATGCTTTGAAGCAATTCTCAGTAATGAAAACGACATCCCCATCATGAAAGGCTCAAACAAGGTTGGTATTTCCTCAAGTTTCTCCAGTTAGTTTATAGTTATTTGTGATGATTTGCTGTAAAATGTTTATTTCCCTCAGCACTGTGTAACATGCCTATTTGTATTTCAGGAAATCACATATATTCTGAAAGAGCTCAGAAGAGTTCAGAGACAACTTGAAGGTAAGTGCACATTCATCACAATAATTGAGTAAACAAGCATCACTTAAAATGTTTTTTTCTTTTTGTTAAGATGTTTTCCCTCAGCATTTCAGATGTGTTGATTTACAGTTGAAGTCGGAAGTTTACATACACCTTAGCCAAATACATTTAAACTCAGTTTTTCACAATTCCTGACATTTAATCCTAGTAAAAATGGTCTTAGGTCAGTTAGGATCACCACTTTATTTTAAGAATGTGAAATGTCAGAATAATAGTGGAGAGAATGATGTAAATGAGATCTTGTTCTCAACTGGCTTACCTGGTTAAATAAAGGTGAAATAAAAATAAATAAATAAAATTTTCAGCTTTTATTTCTTTCATCACATTCCCAGTGGGTCAGAAGTTTACATACACTCAATTAGTATTTGGTAGCATTGCCTTTAAATTGTTTAACTTGGGTCAAACGTTTCGGGTAGCCTTCCACAAGCTTCCCACAATAAGTTGGGTGAATTTTGGCCCATTCCTCCTGACAGAGCTGGTGTAACTGAGTCAGGTTTGTAGGCCACCTTACTCGCACACGCTTTTTCAGTTCTGCCCACAGATTTTCTATAGGATTGAGGTCAGGGCTTTGTGATGGCCACTCCAATACCTTGACTTTATTGTGCTTAAGCCATTTTGCCACAACTTTGGAAGTATGATTGGGGTCATTGTCCATTTGGAAGACCCATTTGCGACCAAGCTTTAACTTCCAGACTGATGTCTTGAGATGTTGCTTCAATATATCCACATCATTTCCCTTCCTCATGATGCCATCTATTTTGTGAAGTGCACCAGTCCCTCCTGCAGCAAAGCACCCCCACAGCATGATGCTGCCACCCCCGTGCTTCACGGTTGGGATGGTGTTCTTCAGCTTGCAAGCTCCCCCTTTTTCCTCCAAACATAATGATGGTCATTATGGCCAAACAGTTCTATTTTTGTTTCATCAGACCAGAGGACATTTCTCCAAAAAGTATGATCTTTGTCCCCATGTGCAGTTGCAAACCGTAGTCTGGCTTTTTTATGGCGGTTTTGGAGCAGTGGCTTCTTCCTTGCTGAGTGGCCTTTCAGGTTATGTCGATATAGGACTCGTTTTACTGGGGATATAGATACTTTTGTACCTGTTTCCTCCAGCATCTTCACAAGGTCCTTTGCTGTTGTTCTGGGATTGATTTGCACTTTTCGCAACAAAATACGTTCATCTCTAGGAGACAGAACGCGTCTCCTTCCTGAGCGGTATGACGGCTGCGTGTCCCATGGTGTTTGTACTTGCGTACTATTGTTTGTACAGATGAACGTGGTACCTTCAGGCGTTTGGAAATTGCTCCCAAGGATGAACCAGACTTGTGGAGGTCTACAATTGTTTTTCTGAGGTCTTGGCTGATTTCTTTAGATTTTCCCATGATGTCAAGCAAAGAGGCACCTGAGTTTGAAGGTAGGCCTTGAAATACATCCACAGGTACAGCTCAAATTGACTCAAATGATGTCAATTAGCCAATCAGAAGCTTCTAAAGCCATGACATCATTTTCTGGAATTGTCCAAGCTGTTTAAAGGCACAGTCAACTTAGTGTATGTAAACTTCTGACCCACTGGAATTGTGATACAGTGAATTATATGTGAAATAATCTGTCTGTAAACAATTGTTGGAAAAATTACTTGTGTCATGCACAAAGTACTTGCCAAAACTATTGTTTCTTAACAAGAAATTTGTGGAGTGGTTGAAAAACGATTGCAACCTAAGTGTATGTAAACTTCCGACTTCAACTGTATGCCTGATTTCTCTGTCCCCTCCCCAGTCATCAACACTATCATTGAACCCAGTGGAATTCTTGAGCCAGCCAAAGCCTCCACTCCTAGTGCCCCCTCCTCAGCCGGGTTGAGGCCATCCAGGGCCCCTTCGAGAGACTGGAGAACCTCAGGTTCCCAGCAGAGTGGTGGTGGGGGCCCCTCTGCCAGCTCCAGGCCCAGTGAGTGCGTCAGGAGATCAGCTATGGCCTCTGAGGCAGAGAGCTACGTGGTCTGAGGTTTTGGAACACAGTACCTCCCCTTCACTGCTGCGCCACAATCCCAGGTGTTGAGAGAGAGAGTGGATTTGAGAGGGGAAATAGGCACTGCTAGAGAGAACTGTGGCCCCACCGCACAAAGACACTACTGTACTGTGTGTGCAGTACTAGACAACTGCAATGCGCATTGAACTGCCATGGTGTGAAAAGGGGATTGTACGAAACGCATAAAGCCATGCAGTGGTTAGTTCAGCCGAGGGAAAATCCCTTTAAAGGCCCAATGCAGCTGTTTTTATATCAATATACAATTATTTCTGGGTAACAATTAAGTGTACTGTAATAGATTTATATTCAAATTGACAAAAATAACTTTTTACCCAAAAAGTATTTCTCAAGCAAGAATTTTGCTAGGACTGTCTGGGAGTGGTCTGAGTAGAGGGGAAAACTGAAAACTAGCTGTTATTGGCAGAGAGGTTTGGAACTCTCTTTCTTATTGTTCCATTAACCAATTTACTGCATGGTGATGTCACCATGGAAAGCCAAATTGTCGGTCCATGCAAACCTGCTGATTAGAAGGTCCTGTGTAGATTGTATTTTCAACCAGCAACTACCAGGAAATAACAGTGATTACATTTTTTCACACTTTTACAGTGTTAGTTTCATCAGCTGTTGTACGATATGATACAAAACACAAGAAAAACAGAATTTTGACTGCACTTGTCCTTTAGGACAAGGTCATTATTGTGCCATATACCTCTCAGTTGATCTCACGCTCAGAAAACTTAACAAGCATACTTGATTACTTGCATTTGATTGATTGATTTCTGTGATTTTATTAATTGGGGAAATGTTGCTGCAATCAGCTTAGAGCACAGTATATTTAAAAACAGCTTGAGTATATTTTATTTAAGGAAGTATCTATTACTAAAGTAATTAAATAATCAAATTAAATCATATTTTGACTTTGCTTGATGAAATGTATAAATGAGTAGAGAATTGATATGAAGGAGTTCTCCATCATCCCTTGGTAGGGTTATTCCACTTCACCACTGCTTTCTTTTTACCACTTTCTCCCTCTATGGACCAGACTTATTGAAGAATGGCTAAAGTATTTAATTGTAATGATTTATATAGTATTAAAGAGTTTATAAGGTGGCACATGGACACTTTTGAGCTAAGATAATGTTATTTTTCTGGTCTCTTAAAAGAGACTGAGGCATTTTTTTAATGAAATGTAAGAATGGCTCTAGGAGTCACTGCTTTACAAGGTATCTCATGTTGCCAGTAGAAACTTGTGCCTATGTATTCTCTAGAGTCAAAAGTAGCAATCAGGTCTGCTTCCTCATGCACTGTCTGACACTAGATATTTTCTTGTTCTCAGAACTGAAAGTCTGTGTGGAATGTATGGTTGGGTGGGCAGGGCAGGGGGGCTTAGTGCTGTGGTAGAACATCTAGTTTTAATCACCTGGCAACAGCCAACTTTCTGAAGTAGCTGCATAGCTCAGCCCAGAGATTTTAAGCTTTGTAACAGAATAAAACACAGGACTCATTCAGGGCTTCTACCAGCTGGCGCCATTTGGAAAGTGTGTTTGTTTGTATTGCTGATAGGTTTGATTGTCATAACTGGTCAGTTGATTGCACAGCTCTCAATACTGTGGTCAGACATACAGTGAGCTCTAAAAGTATTGGGACAGTGACACATTTGATGTTTTGGCTCTGTACTCCAGCAATTTGGATTTGAAATGATATAATAGACTTAACTTTAATTTGAGGGTATTTTCATCCATATCAGGTGAACTGTTTAGAAATTACAGCACTTTTTGTACATAGTCCCTCCATTTTAGGAGACCAAAGTATTGGGACAAATTCACTTGTGCATTAAAGTAGTCAAAAGTTTATTATTTGGTCCCATATTCCTAGCACGCAATGACTGTTTGCATCAAGCTTGTGACTACAAAGTTCTTGGATACGTTCATTTTGGTTGTGTTTCTGATTATTTTGTACCCAATAGAAATGAATGGTAAATAATGTATTGTGTCATATTGGAGGTACTTTTATTGTAAATAATAATTGAATTTTTCTAAACACTTCTACATTAAATGTGGACGCTACCGTGATTACTGATAGTCCTGAATGAATTGTGAATAATGATGAGTGAGAAAGTTAGAGGCACAAATCATAACCCCCCCCCCCCCCCCCTTTCTTCACGGTTCACCTGATATGGACAAAAATACATTGAAATTAAAGTTGACAGTCTGCACTTTAACCTCATAGTCATGGTATCATATCACATCCAAAGTGCTGGAGTTCAGAGCCAAATCAACAAAAAAGTGTCACTGTCCCAATAATTTTGGAGCTCACTGTATCTCAGTGCTGTGTACTTTCTGTTCCCTTCTTGATTCCCCTTTCTTGGTTTAAATCGTCATCTGAGGGTTCAATTTTGCCAAAGAATACCAATGAAACGTCTAGTAGAAGTTATTATTAACACTTTACTGATTCAAATGCCCTCAGACAGTTTTCAGTGTCGCTGTCTTGAGATATTTTCTCCAGTCTCATTACTGTACACTCCTTCATTCCATCAATAAGCACACCACACTACATGAACACCTGTGTTGTTGATGCCAGTTTTAAAGGACTGTATTAGGTGTCAACAGCAAGATGCACCTGCTGTTTTATTGTTTTGTTTTGTTCTAATCATTCATAATTGTGAGTGATAGTGAGCAGAAATGTTGTGCAATTATAAATTAAATGTACATATCTAAGAGTTGATGATCTAGAGATGACCGCTCCATCTTGTATTTTGCACTAGTGTAGTACCATTGGGACCCTTTTGTTTTCTTTTTTTACTAAGGGGGTTGCTCTCATTCTGTTAGATTGTATCAATTCTATCCTGTCCAGAAGGAAAGGAGGCTGAAAATGCAATAAAATAAAGGGACTACAGCCCACAAGTGCTTTCCCCTTTTCCAACCTGTGTGTGTAGCTGTATATGAAATTGTAACAGGAATTTCCCTCAGTGCCACAAAGCCTTTTGGGATATATGGCTTCATACCACAAAGTACAGTGCTTGTTTACACCCATGGGCTCAGTTAAATCTGTCTCTTTGAGCTTTTGATTGCTATGGCTCGAAGTGCTGCTGCTATTCTGATTTTGACTGTTTTATCTATTGCATTTCTCCATATAAAGCTCCAGTTTAACACTTTTTAATTGAGAAATATCTTAATGTCAAATTTTGTATACCCAGCTCATATCCCTTTAAAGTCATCAGTCACAATGGTTTGTTTTTTTGGTTGGTTGGTTCTTGCACCCTAAACAAAGTAATGTTAAGTTCCACTTCCTTTAGCATTTGTTATTGATGATGTTTTCCAGAATGAATTTCTTGGAAAGGTTATACATTTTGTGCATAATTTAGAAAATGTGACAACATTTTGTAATAAACTGATTTGTAATCAATTATGTTGTACTGTCATCTTCATTATTTTTATTCCAAAGCCACTTGTTTGATATAAGCCTCATATTGTAGCACTCACACAATCATGTTTTACACGTAATTTTATTTATACTGTATGTCCTGACCTTTCAGAAAGAGAAATTAAAGAAACAGGAACCATGTATTTTAAGGTGAACAGTAAATGTCACACCTAGTTTCATATCAATTTCTGGGGACTTAGAGGAAGGCTATTGTAACGACAAGCCTCTTTACTCTGTTTGTGTAAGTTGTTTTTGTATGTTAAATGCTGTTTAAATGTATGTTTAAAATGATATGTATGACCAAAACATTTTAGTTCAACAGTACATCAGGAACATCCGTTCCAGAGATGTCCTCTCCTTACAATACTTTACATGATAGCTATGTTCCCAACGTAAGGGTAAGAATTGCTTGTCAGACTTTTCAGTAGATTCCCATCTATGTTGATACAACTGAATCTGTTCAAACGTATATTGATCAATGGTTGTGTGTCCATGTTCTCAGGACTCAAAACGGCTTGTGTCAGTTGCTGTGGCAGTGGGATGTTTGACTGCATTCGGCGCACTGCTCTCCTTTTCTATATTGGAGAAGTGCACAGAAGAGCATTTCCAAAATGACAAGATCTTTCAAGAAACAAACACGGATCAAAATAACATTTCTGAAGAGCAAAGCCGGTGAGCGTCGTATAAACAGTATACGTTTTTGCTTTAACACATCTAATTGACAATATAAAACAGTCAAATTAAGTTTTGGCAAGGGAAGTGGATGCGTTGTCTCCAGTTTGTAATCATCCCCAAAGACTAGAAATGTAATAGGTCCTGTTGTGAATTCCTCAGTATTATCCTTGTGGAGAGCATTCCCCTGTATATGAAATATGACGACAATGCAACATTTGGGACCCCAGTGGACAAGGCCTGGAGAGATCTCCTGTCCATTGCAACCAACCAAGTCGATGTGGCCTCCTTCTACTGGACTCTTACCGGTGATGACATCAATATCAACTCTTCCACTGACTTGCCTGTGAGTTTTAAAAAAGCCAATTGAAATATGTTTGACAACTGCTTTCAACTAGTCATCTCTGTGAATTTGCCTGTACTTTATCTACTGTTATCAACAGGGAAAGAACATACTGGAGCAGTTTGGAGCTTTGCCTTCCAGAAATGTGTCAGTGAGGGTTGTGACGAGTATTCCCTCTGTGATGACAAACTCCACAGATCTTCAGGTTCTGAGACAGAAAGGTCTAAAATATTAGGAAGGTGTTCTTAATGTTTTGTACACTGTATATTATCCTACTGTATTTTTAATCCTCTAATCTCCTCTCATTGGTTATCTGTACTGTAGGAGTCCAAGTAAGAAAGGTGCCCTTTGGGCGTTTGACTGGGGGTGTACTCCACAGCAAGTTCTGGATTGTTGATAGGAAACACATATTCCTGGGAAGTGCCAACATGGATTGGAGGTCTCTTACACAGGTAAAGGTCTAGTGATGATATAATATAACTATTTTAAATAATCTCACTCGTTTTGCTCCTACATGACGGGTAACAATGCACTATGACCTTAGGTAAAGGAACTGGGAGTGGTCATCTATAACTGCTCCAGTTTGGCTGAGGACCTCCATAAGATCTTTGAGTCATACTGGGTGATGGGTCATCGCAACAGCTCCATCCCAAACCCTTGGCCCTCCAAGTATGACACTACCATCAACAAAGAGCACCCCCTGCTGCTGAAGACTGATAATGTTTTAAGCAAAATCTACATCACAGTGAGTCCTTTCTGTTTCACTTCCCATTCACTGCTTTCAATGAGCCCCAGACCATAAAACTATTAGCATCTGAATAAAACCTGAGAGAATTAAAGAGTGTGTCTATTGTCCAACACATAACACGTTGACTGGAGATTTCTTTCTCATCTAATTAAGGGCTGTAAGTAAGCATTTCACTGTAATGTCTGCACCTGTTGTATTCGGCGCATGTGGCCAATAAAATTTGATTTGATTTAATGACAATCTCATCACAGTTCTAGTCATCACAGCCCTCTCTTCCTTGCGATGTGATGTCTATACTCTGTCTCCCCCAGGGCTCTCCTCCCTCTTTCTGCCCAGACTCTCGGACGCAGGACCTTGATTCTATCCTCTCAGTGATCTCAGGGGCGCAGCACTACATTGATGTGGCAGTCATGGACTATTTCCCCACCACACGCTTCATACACCCTCAAAGGTGAACGTACTGTCCTACCAGACTCATAGCCTTTTTCAATACGCCATTGAGTTACTTACTTTGACTTCTTGTAATATTGAAATATTAATTGAATATACCTCTAACTTATCCTTTAGGTATTGGCCGGCCATTGATGATGCATTAAAGAGGGCTGCTTTTGAGCGGAATGTTAAGGTCCGTCTGCTGGTCAGCTGTGGACGTGATTCTGATCCAGCCATGCTGCCTTTCCTTCAGTCTCTAGCCTCCATGAATTACCCTGCCCAGAGCATCAGCATTCAAGTGGTAGGAAAGACACATATCCTACTGGTATTATTATTCAACCAATGTGATTGTCTTCTTTTCTTTATTGTAATGCCAGATTGTCCTCTTTTTCAGAAACTGTCCATTGTGCCAGTAGGGAACCAGTCAGAGATACCCCACTCCAGAGTAAACCATAATAAATACATGGTGACTGATAAAATGGCATATATTGGTAAGGGATAGACAGCTCTATCAATGTGACTAACAGACTTTTCAGAAAATAGTTTAATATAATAATACTTTGATGTGAACAGACACAGTTGTTTATATGAAAGCATTACAGGTCATGAACAACTTGAATTCCCAATCCTTCTGCCCCTCAGGGACATCTAACTGGTCAGCTGACTACTTCAACACCACAGCTGGAGTGGGGCTGGTGGTTTCCCAGCATGCACCACACTGGGCCTGGAGGACCCAGGCTCTGCAGGCGCAGCTCAGGGCAGTGTTTGACAGGGACTGGCAGTCTCAGTTTACTGTACGTGTCGCTGACTTGGGTCATCAACCTGACTGTGCCCTCTCAAAAGTATAGGCGCTGTACTTACCATCCGTACACTCAGTTATAACAATGTTTACTTTAGAAAAGTCCCCAAAGTATTCAGTTATGGCTTAGGGAAATGACAGTAAGCCCGGTGGACTGCTTTTTTTTGTTTCTATTAGGGACTTTACAACTGAACATTCAATTTGCTTCATTATTTGTTTGTGCTTGTTACCTTTTTTTCCTAGTGAAAATGTACCCTTGGAATGTTTAATATTTCACTGTATTAGAGTACGTTGGGAGAAAACGTACCCTAATACTTTTTACAAGCGAATAAATGCTCATTATTTTTGCAACAAAATGCTTTATTATACAAGATAATTAATTTGAAATAAAGGCAGCAAAAGACAAGTCTCGGTCTCGTTTATTCAAGTGTTTGTTTGATTTTCTCTACATTAGATGGCAGTAATATCAACATTCAATGTGTACAGTCATGGTCAAAAGTTTTGAGAATGACATACTAATTTTCACAAAGTCTGCTGCCTCAGTTTTGATGATGGCAATTTGCATATACTCCAGAATGTCATGAAGAGTGATCAGATGAATTGCAATTAATTGCAAAGTCCCTCTTTGCCATGAAAATGAACTTAATCCCAAAAAACATTTCCACTGCATTTCAGCCCTGCCACAAAAGGACCAGCTACCATCATGTCAGTGATTCTCTCGTTAACACAGGTGAGAGTGTTGACGAGGACAAGGCTGGAGATCACTCTGTCATGCTGATTGAGTTAGAATAACAGACTGGAAGCTTTAAAAGGAGGGTGGTGCTCGAAATAGTTGCTCTTCCTCTGTTAACCATGGTTACCTGCAAGGAAACACGTGCCGTCATTATTGCTTTGCACAAAAAGGGCTTCACAGGCAAGGATATTGCTGCTAGTAAGATTGCACCTAAATCAACCATTTATCGGATCATCAAGAACTTCAAGGATAGAGGTTCAATTGTTGTGAAGAAGGCGTCAGGGCACCTAAGAAAGTCCGGCAAGCGCCAGGACCGTCTCCTAAAGTTGATTCAGCTGCGGGATCGGGGCACCACCAGTGCAGAGCTTGCTCAGGAATGAGTGCATCTGCACGCACAGTGAGGCAAATACTTTTGGAGGATGGCCTGGTGTCAAGAAGGGCAGCAAAGAAGCCACTACTCTCCAGGAAAAACATCAGGGACAGACTGATATTCTGGAAAAGGTACAGGGATTGGACTGCTGAGGACTGGGGTAAAGTCATTTTCTCTGGTGAATCCCCTTTCCGATTGTTTGGGGCATCCGGAAAATCCCTTGTCCGGAGAAGACAAGGTGGACGCTACCATCAGTCCTGTGTCATACCAACAGTAAAGCATCCTGAGACCATTCATGTGTGGGGTTGCTCACAATTTTGCATAAGAACAAAGCCATGAATAAAGAATGGTACCAACACATCCTCCGAGAGCAACTTCTCCCAACCATCCAAGAACAGTTTGGTGACGACCAATGCCTTTTCCAGCATGATGGAGCACCTTGCCATAAGGCAAAAGTGATAACTAAGTGGCTCGGGGAACAAAACATTGACATTTTGGGTCCATGGCCAGGAATCTCCCCAGACCTTAATCCCATTTAGAACTTGTGGTCGATCCTCAAGAGGCGGGTGGACAAACAAAAACCCACAAATTCTGACAAACTCCAAGCATTGATTATGCAAGAATGGGCTGCCATCAGTCAGGATGTGGCCCAGAAGTTAATTGACAGCATGCCAGGGCGGATTGCAGAGGTCTTGAAAAAGAAGGGTCAACACTGCAAATATTGACTCTTTGCATAAACTTAATGTAATTGTCAATAAAAGCCTTTGACACTAATGGAATGCTTTTAATTATACTTCAGTATACCATAGTAACATCTGACAAAAATATCTCATAACACTGAACCAGCGAACTTTGTGAAGACCAATACTTGTGTCATTCTCAAAACCTTTGACCACGACTGTATACTGTGACGTTCGGACATCGTTGTAAGAGATTGGATTGAGGACAGACTCGACGAGGAAGTTTTCATGGTCGGAAATGGTGGTGAGTAGTGCATACGAAATGGAGAAAAAGTTATGCTGGAATGCGAACAATATGGGTGTCAGTTCTGATGATATGGAGCTGGGGGATGAGGGTCAAGGACCGGAATGGTCGGTAGTGGAAAGACATAGGAAGAAGAGCAATCATGATACAGAAAGCATAAAGACAGCCAAAGTAGGAAGCAATAGTAATGATGTGTTCGAGTGGAAAGTGGTGATAGTGTTTGATGAGGCCACAGGGCCTCACTTCCACCCTATCCGACTAACTAATGCCGTAGAGAAAGAGGTAGGTTAAGTGAAATTAGCTCGGTTTATTGGAAATGGTAGATTGTTAATATTGTGTGGTAGCCAAGCTCAGCAATAGAACATTCTGAAAATGGAAAAGCTTAATGGGAAGAAGATTAAAAGCCATGCTTATCCTAGGTTGAGGGGAGTCATCCCTGGGTTCCCAATATATGTCCACAGATGATGTTAAAGAAAATGTGAAGGGAGGCATAGTGATTGAGGCCAAAAGGTTGATCAGTAGGAAAGAGGGTCAAAGTGAAAGCTTATCAGTGCTGCTGAGGTTTGAGAAAGTCTTCCCGGGAAAAGTACAGATAGGATTCCTTAGTTTCAATGTTACAGAATTTGTCCCATATGCACTGCGGTGTTTTAAATGCCAAAGAATAGGACATGCAGCTGCTCAGTGTAAAGGAAAGAAGAGATGTGCCAAGTGTGGAGGGGCACATGATTACGGTGAATGTGGAAGCAATGTGAAGGTTAAGTGCTGTAATTGTGGGGGAGAACACAGTGCAGCATTTGGTGGATGCCAGGTACAGAGAGAGGCTCAAAGATGTAGGATCAGTCATGATGTATCGTATGCAGAAGCCGTAAAACAGATTGGTAGAACTACAGTGCAGACTGATGGAGATTACATGGAGGTTCCTGTAGTAAGTGGACCTACTGTTGAGGCTGGTGCTTCTGATGGTCCTGGCATGGTTTCAAGGCCTGTTCAGAAATCTTGTGCTCATGAATGTGCGGTGTCAAAGGACACTTTGATAATGAATAAAGTTGACTTCATAGCTTTTATTGGTAAGTTTATCAATACGACTCAGGTTGTGGAAAGCAGAAATGCCAGGTTGGAGGTTATTGTGGAGACGGCAAAATAGATATTGGGGGTAACAGATGTCACTGTTGAAATGCTGAAGGGTGGAGTGTTTCAGCATTATATATAGATCAAGTTTAATGGGGTTGGGGCGGGTTTTGGGGGGAGGGTGTGGTAGAAGTTAGGGATTTATTTGGTTTTGAATTGTATTTTCATGGTAGTTCAAAATTGGGCAGATCATGATTGATCGTACATTCCAGCACAGTAGGTGGAGGCATGCACTTTAAACGTTTGTTTGCAGACCGCCATGATATGTTTGTTTTGTTTTAGCAAGTTGCTCTTATCCAGAGCGACTTACAGGAGCAATTAGGGTTAAGTGCCTTGCTCAAGGGCACATCGACAGATTTTTCACCTAGTCGGCTCGGGGATTAGAACCAGCGACCTTTCGGTTACTGGCACAACGCTCTTAACCACTGAGCTACCTGCCACCTATATCATAGAAGAAGAATATTCAGTGTGTACTCTGAGTGATGTTAGGATATATAAGTTATCCTGTGACAGTAGTGTGTAGGAGGGAGGTTCCAAGGTGTGAGAAGTGTGCAGAAGGGCATGAGACAAAGAAATGTGTAGCATTGGGGAAAGTAGTGGTATGTGTTAATTGTAGGGGTGCCCATGGGGCTAGGGATCAGAAATGTCTGGTGCGAGAGACGCAGGTTGAGGTTTCCAGGGTTAGAGTAGTGCAGAAGTTGTCATATGCTGAGGCAGTGAAGAAAGTAGAGGAAGATGGATCAAGGGGGAGGGATCTGAGAGGAGTGGTGTGAGTAGTAGATCTGTGCCAGTACAGAGGGATAGGCCAACAAGGGATATATGTTTCAGTAAGATTGGATTTTTAGCATTTATAGCAATGGTTATCAACTGTACTGCAGGGATGGAATGTAAGTCGCAGAAAATTGAGGTTGTGGTGGCAGCTGGAGAGAGGTATTTGGATGTGCGAGACTTGACGTCAGAAGAGTTGCAGGGTGTGTTAAGTGGTGGTGTCCCATCCTTTCAGGCTGTTGGCCTGAAGTAGGACTCATTTATTTTATTTTACCTTTATTTAACTAGGCAAGTCAGTTAAGAAAAAATTCTTATTTACAATGACGGCCTACACCGGCCAAACCCGGACGACGCTGGGTCAATTGTGCGCTGCCCTATGGGACTCCCAATCACGGCTGGTTGTGATACAGCCTGGAATCGAACCAGGGGGTCTGTAGTGACGCCTCAAGCACTGAGATGCAGTGCCTTAGACCACTGCGCCACTAGGGAGCCCAAAATAGATTTAAATAGTGGAGTAGGGTGGTGTTTTATGTTGGCTTGTTTTTTGTGAGTGTAGTGTTAGATGGTAGGGGGTTTAAAATATATATATAAGGGAGTTATACTCCAGTCTAGTAGGTGGCGGTAATGCAACATTTATTGGATGCCAACCGCCGTTAAACCTCATCGAAGAAGAAGAAGAAGTGCGTACTTTGCAAGTTGAAAGGTCACGGGGCGGAGTTTCATGTTGTACTAGGTACGTGTGCTTCTGCCGGGCTAGTCAGCAAGCTGAAGCTAAAGAATTGTACTGAACATCATGGTACTACTTGAAAATGACTCGGTAAGTCAGAAAACGCCACCGACTAATTTAGTATATGTTAGATAGTCATTATTAGAGGACTGGTTTAATTTCCTAGGTATTGTGCATTGGCATGGTAGAAATCACTGCTGCCTGTTAGCTATACCGCCTGCCATAGCCAGTAACGTTAACTAGATAGCTAGGCACATTCGGCTTGCATTTGCTAACTGTTCGTTTGAATTGCTTGTGGTCAGCATGAAATAAAAAGCAATCCATCAATAAATATGCGTACACATTTCTTGTTAAAAGTAACTAACAAGGTAAACCAATAATATAGGTCGTATAGCTAACGTTATGAACTACACAAACGGAGACATGTTTGCTAGCTAACTCATTAGCCAGATGGCTACCACAGTTTATCATTTATAATTTTATCTACATACCTCAATCGGATTATTTTCCTTCTAGTTTTTGACTGAGCTGACACGGCTGTTCCAGAAATGCAGGACATCAGGCAGTGTTGTCATCACGTTAAAGAAATGTAAGTTCTCACATTTTGTCATCTGTTACTTATATGATGGCTACTGAGTGTTCTCTCCTTCACTCAGTTCTTCCAGGATATGTTAATATTCGGCCTATGTACTGTTTTGAGAGAGAGCTAGCCTTCTGTAGGTTTTCACTATAACCCCAGTTGTAACTAACCTGATTCAGGTTATCAACCAGCTAATTATTAGTGGTCCTCTGTAGCTCAGCTGGTAGAGCACGGGGCTTGTAACGCCAAGGTAGTGGGTTCGATCCCTGGGACCACCCATACACAAAAAAAATGTATGCACGCATGACTGTAAGTCGCTTTGGATAAAAGCGTCTGCTAAATGGCATATTATTATTATATTATTATTATTAGAATCAAGTGTGCTAGATTAGGGTTGGAGCAAAAACCTACAGGATGGTAGCTCTCCAGGAACAGTGTTGGAGAGCCCTGCTGTAATGTGTTGTCACTAACCTTACAGATGATGGGAGAACCAAACCAGTCCCCAGGAAAGGCCACCCAGAGAATTATGAACCAGCAGACAACAAGTGTCTACTCAGAGCATCAGATGGCAAGAAGAAAATCAGCACAGTGGTAAGTCTACACTACAGCATCATGTGGCAATGAAGTCATTGATGATGAAGAGGTTTGTTGCATTATAATACAATGTTTTATTTCCTAGTCATGCAATTAGTCCATCTCTACTTAGTAATCAATGGTTGTCCATTGCTCTTACATTTTTACATTTTAGGTATTTAGCAGATGCTCTTATCCAGAGCGACTTACAGTTAGTGCATTCATCTTCAGATAGCTAGGTGGGACAACCACATCACAGGCATAGAAAGTACATTTTTCCTCAATAAAGAAGCTATCTATGTTGAAATAAATCCATAAAGGAATTAACTGAATCATTGTTGTTGATATGCTATACTCTGCAGACAGTAGTGCTAATCAGGGGTTTCCTTGTATCTCCAGGTTAGTAGCAAAGAAGTAATCAAGTTCCAGATGGTAGGTACTCAGACATTGAGGTTAGGTTTTTCTAACAAATGGCTCACTGGAGTACATTGTATTGTTTTGTTTTTTAGATGTATGTAATGTTAAAAGGTGTTATGCATATCCTTTAAATACTCTCCTCTTGACTTGACAAACTTGCCTCTAAAAGTCTGCTCTCCCTCTTCTCAACATGGCAGGCATACTCTAACCTCCTGAGAGCACACATGGACGGGCTCAAGAAGAAAGACAAGAAAAGCAAAAGCAAGAAAACCAAAGCCACCCAATGAGCAACAGACTTTCATAGCATACTGGGGGAACCCAGACTGGCCTGTACCACCTCCAAGGTGCTCCAACTATCACCTCTACCTCCATCCTTCCTGATTCAATATGCTCCCTGAAGCCCACCATCCTCCACCTGGGGACTGCTTTGACATCATGCCATTGTTTACACAGCAATGTCTCATCCCTGGCCAGTGAATGAATGGTCTATATAGGGAGGAAGGGAGAGCTGAGGATGTTTAACACTCAGAGGATACTACAAGTGAGCCGCCTTTTGATTCACCCACCACAACTCCCCCATCTCTGGTGTGGATCCAAGTTACACAAAGAGCTGCATTCATTTATGGAGTCACCGAAAGGATGGAGCACGTTGATGAAATGCCTTTCAAATTGTTTTAATTTGAACTACTAGTCCCTGTCCCTATTTATGTTTCAATTATCGTTCGGTTTGCATGCATCAATTTGATTACATTTTCACCAAAGTTCTGATTTACTTTCCAATTGGACCATGTCTTATCCATTTGTGGATAGATTATTACTGTGTACTATGAGTGAAGCTGCCATATGCATTTGTTAGGATTGGGGCCGAATGTTTTTTGTTGCTATTCAAATAATTGTTCTTTTTTTATGATGGTAAGATCCTGAGTTTTGTTTTTGGCTTAAGACAAAATGAATAAATGGGTGAGTTCCTTATTGGTCCAACTACAATTTAACGGTAATGTCTGTCCACTTAATGAAGTTGGTAAATTCATAGTTGTAAGGCAAGCTGTAAAGAAAGGGTCCTAAAGTTAGCTTACACATAAGCCCTCTGTGGTACTTAGAAATGTGTATTGCTGTATCACAAATTAATTTGTGGGATGGATGTGTCATGATGGAATATTGAGTGAGGGGAAAGTATTTTGAAACTTCTTAATGATTTAGGATATTTACTGGCAGCTGAAAGGCATATTTGATTTATGGATACAGAGAGAACCTTGTACATGATCATGTTAGTTTTTAATCAAGTCTGTTTTCCTTACTGGGTGTATAATTACTTTCCAAACGCAGAGCTGCCGCTTTTGACATTCATCTGCCATCTTATGTCACGGTATCAGAATGTCATTGAGAAATAATCTGCTTTGTCAAAAATAAATTACAATCTGGCAGCGGTTTGTTGATGTAAAGACAAATAGATTTTCAATAAAATAACAAGGAATGAGCAGTTTGACTTTACATTGTAGGCTGATAACATGAGCAATGTAGAAAATGGTCACTATAAGTAATAAATACACTATATACACAGCTAAGCCATATGTGCCACATTTCTGTGCTACGCCTGTTCAACCAGCTCTGAGTTGAGGCCATCCAGGTCTCTTATAAGGCTGTGTTCCTCTCCTTGGGGGAGGTTCCCACCTGGTGATGTCTGCTCCTCTCCTGGTAGCCCTGGTTCATAAGCCTGGTTAGGTACAGGAACAGGGTCTGGTTTAGAAACAACACGGAATTATGAGGACACCTGTAATAATGTTGAATTAAAATCAAGGTCTGTGTGTCTAATGTAGTACCGGGTTAGCGTTGCTGGGGTAAGTAGGCTAAAATATATAACTAGGGAGTGGCATTACAGCTGTAAATACAATGTATTACTAGTCTAGTGTTTGGGTTGGCACTACAGCTGTAAGTACAATGTATTATCAGTCTAGGTTTAGGGGAGTGCAGGGATGCATTATACTAGGAAATAAGTAGAGCCTGGAATGTTCCTGGTAAGGAAAAACTGTTCACTCCACATAAATGATAAGCAGGGCCAGGAGTTTATCCTGAGCACAGGAGCTGATCCCAGGAATAAGGTTGGAGCTGTAAGGGTAGTTCTCCATGAATCCACTAGAGGCCAATACAGACAGTTTCATTGGAATGTTCATTGTAAACTACAGTGCTTCCTTCACTCATTTCATCTAATTTACACTAAACAGAAATATAAACGTAACATGTAAAGTCTTGGTCCCATGTTTCATGAGCTGAAATAAAAAAATCCCAGACATTTTCCATACGCACAAAAATCTTATTTCTCTCAAATTTTGTGCACAAATTTGTTTACATCCCTGTTAGTGAGCGTTTCTCCTTTGCCAAGATAATCCATCCACCTGACAGGTGTGGCATATCAAGAAGCTGATTAAACAGCATGATCATTACATAGGTGTACCTTGTGCTGGGGACAATGAAAGGTCACGTTAAAATGTGCAGTTTTGTCACACAACACAATGACACAGATGTCTCAAGTTTTGAGGGAGCGTGCAATTGGTGTGGAATATTTCTGATTGGCTGGGCCTGGCTCCCCAGTGGGTGGGCCTATGCCCTCCAAGGCCCACCCATGGCTGCACCCCTGTCCAGTCATGTGAAATCCATTGATTAGGGCCTAATTTATTTCTTTTAATTCACTGATTTCCTTCAAATCTTTGAAATTGTTGCATTTATATTTTTGTTCAGTATATTTAATTAAGACAGTGCACTCAGTAAAACTTGCCCTGATTTACCAGAGTCCTGTGGTCTATAAAACCAATAAAAACCACAGTGACTGTCTGAAACACAGTATTTACATCATACACACTAACACATACAGTTACATCTATGTGAGTGCAGTTTTACATTTGACAAACTGATATTTTAATTGAAAAGTGTAGTAATACTATTGTAGTAGCCTTGATGTGCTTGAGCCATGCCATTCTCAATATGGTCATTTCTGGTTCATTGAAATTTTAATTTTCATGTCAGTCACCTCTCTTCCACTGGTGACCATTTCCATCTTGACATGTGTCATTGGATGTGGACAACTCTGGCACTGCAGAAAGCCAAGGGACCTCTTGGACAATAATTGGTTTCAGACATGATTCTCATGATTGACACCCACATATTAAATCAAAGTGGTCACCGAGAAAGATTGAATTCTGTACCTTCCACGCCTCCTCAAGCTCAGGGGTCCATCTCTCTTTGAGAATGGGTTGGACAGCACAGATGAATTCTGCTCCTACATACTGGAAAGAAATCACATCAGAATAGGAAATTATATATCTATTTCAATATCTATAGAAATGCACTGTAACTTTGCTTAACATGCACTGTCAGTGTGTGTGTCTTACGCTGTAGTATTTGGGCGGGGCGTTGTAGCGGTAGTGGCTCCTCCCCAGCTCCACAGCCAGAACCTCCAGTCTCTCCAGCTGGTCCAGTCTGGCAACACTCTTCTCAATAAAGGACATCACTCTGAGAGGAAAGGAACACAGGCCTGGTTATGAAAGACAGCCTGACTGACTAGCATACAGGCATACCTTGAACCATCACCATCACTGATCATACAGCAGACACCTATGTGGTCCAATTCATTTTGTCATCTTTTATCCTCTCTTTCAACAATTGTTCTCCAACATTAAACACTGAAAATGGTTTCATTGCTGCCCACAGGCCTGTCTTTTACATTAAAGAGCACGTTAGGGAGAGTTTTATGCAGAATGATAAATATGTACAAAAGGTTAAATGGGTGCGCTCCCTCTTAGCCTGGCCGCCGGTGAGGACATTTGTACTAATGTCCGTGTGAGTAGTTTGAGGGCCACTTGGCCTTTTCCTGGGAGGATGAGTGCAGAGAGGCTATGTGGAGATGTAGTGTACATATCCCTGTCTGTCTCCTGTAATGCCACTGCAGCCTCCATACCTTTGATTTAAAAAAACAAATCTCACGTACAAGCATTTTTTGGAACAATGTTGTTGAGTTCACAAGACGCAGAGTTCACAAGACACAGAACTCTGTGGCCTTTTGCAAAACAGTAAATGTGTTTTCAAGATGTAGTTGCTTTCTCAAAACATAAAAACATTCATCAAAACTATATTATACTGTCAAAATTGCAAATACATTCATCGAAATAACACAACTACCTGCAAAAAGATTAATGCAACCATACTTATCTCTTGAGTCCAAGCAAACAAAACAGAAAGTTAGTCTGTTTTTAAAAAGCCCAGTAGATCAATACATTTCTTGGCAATCACTAAATCATGATTATCAAAACTGGAAATACAACTATTCAAAGATGCAGAATTATGGGCAATTACTATCCTTTTATGCATAGTTCACCAAACAATTTCAAATACATCAAATCAAGTATTATTATAAAAAATAAGCACTTAGTGTGCAGGATTCATTCATCACAATCCAATTCCACGTATTCAATACAAAGGCTGTTTTGTAGACATTCCATTGTTGCACAGAAACACTATCCACAATAGAAATAAGGAAAGGTGAATACAATGGAGGAACACAAATGATATGAATTATGACTTAGAAGTAACCTAAAGTTACTTAGAAGTAACTTAACTTCATTCTCTGTCATATTGTAAAAAATTATAACAATTAGACAGTCCCCATTGCCTAGAGGGTTTTTCTACCTCAAAAAGCACAAGAAAGAGGATTTCGACACCCACCATCTCAAATTGTTCTGAAATTGTTTCTGTGGTTAGAAACAGATAAGATTAGCATTCCTGCAACATTATTTTGTTGAAATATAATTAGAAATTAAGCTAATTGATTGCACCCAAATTGTCAATTTTCATGTACAGGATTAATATAATATTCAATAAATATAGTACCTAACATCCGATTTGGCTAAACTTTTTTCGAACAATGAGTAAGACATGAGGAATCAAATGGTCAAAAGCCACCCACGGACGCCCCACACCCCATGCCAATCCCACCCCAACATTGAGTATACAGTATCAGTTATTTATGTCTGACAAGTAGTATGGAGCTGCGGCTCTGATAATTATTTCTTCATCCTATGTAATGTATTCTCAGTTAATTTAGTGATGTTTCTTTTTCCCTGTTCAGAGAAATTAGTCATTGAAGTTGTTAGGTTTATGTCCCATCCTACATCCTGATATTACCAGGTTCTGACCATTAGATGGTGCTGTACCTGCTGTTAGGTGATTTTTTTTATTGATTTTTTAAATCAATGTTAAAGGGGTAGTTCACCCAAATTACGAAATGACATATTGGTTTCCTTTCCACTCTATGTACAAGGTATGGCAGCAACCCATGCTTTGGTTTTGTTTCCCTGTCGACTGATTTCAAATGCTAACTTATTAGCATTTGTGGCACATATCCAATGCAAGTCAACAGTACCTATATTTGCATTTTCGCGCTTCATATCCAAATCATATATAAGTAACATCATTGAGTTACACAATATATTTTTAGATACTTTAGGATGATTTGGACATTTTGGAAAATGATAATATAGGTAACATTGACTTGCATTGGATTTGTGTCACAAATGCTAAAAAGTTAGTATTTGAAACAGTGGCAAGATAAACAAAACCAAAGCATGGGTTACTGTCATACCTTGTACATAAACTGCTTACAGGGTAAGGATACCAATGTCATTTTGTAATTTGAGTGAACTATCCCTAACAGCAGGAACAGCACCATCTAGTGGTCAGAACCTGGAAATATCAGGATGTAGGATAGGACAAATGCAACAACTAGGATGGCTAATTTCTCTGAATGGGAAAAAAAACCATCACCAAATTCCCTGAGAATACATTACATAGGATGAAGAAACAATACTTTGAGCTGCAGCTCCATACTTCTTGTCAGACATAGAGAATTTATTCTGTATACTCAATGTTGGGGTGGGATTGGCTTGGGGTGTGAGGGGTCTGTGGGTGGCTTTTGACCATTTCTTTACATTCCTGATGTCTTACTCATTGTTTTAAAAAAGTGTGGTCCAAATCGGATGTTAGGTAATATTTTTATTGAATATTATATGAATCCTATTAATTAAAACGGCCAATTTGGGTGCAATGAATTAGCTTAATTTCTCAGAGATCAAATTATATTTCAACAAAATAATGTTGCATGAATGCTAATCTTATCTGTTTCTAACTACAGAAAGTGTTTCAGAACAATCTGAGATGGTGGGTGTCATGACATGGAACGACCCTAGAGCTTTCCATATATTGTACATGGTATGACACTGATGGGGTGATTTAGAATTTTGTGCAGTAGTATTTATTGATTGCCAGAAACAGAGAGCACAATTGCACACATTTGTCTATTGATGAAAACAATGTGTTATTGTATTAACTGATGACATTTGTATTTAAAATTTTGCAAAAGGTGGTCTGATGCAAGTCACGTACTAAGGTAAGAAAAAGATCAGAAGTTCTGTAAATGTATTTGAGCATTTGATCATTTCTGTTCTGCTATAGGTACGTTTCAACACAGATCCCAAAATTGCTTGTACGTGATTGAGAAAAACTGTAAGTGGAGACCTCAGGCTCAATTGGGTTTATTGGCCTTTCATGGTGAGAAAAACAAAGAGGCTCAGCATACCCAGTGACACAACAGAATGGAGAAAAACACACCATTGGAGAACTGCATATGGAGGATAAGTGTGTTCTTCACTGGCAGCAGATGTGATAATAGCCAGCCAGAGATTGGATATTGTCACGGATTCAGCCGAGGCTGCCCCTCCTCCTTGCTCGTGCAGGCTTCGGCATTCGTCGTCACCGGAGTACTAGCTACTACCGATCCATGTATCTATGTTCGACTTGTTTTGTCTTAATTGGTCACACCTGTTTCTCATCATGTAGTTATGTCTTCCCTATTTAACCCTCTGTCTCACACTGTGTGTTGCGCGTGTTTGTTCATGTTTTGGTAGTCGTTAGTGTGCGGGTTGTTCCCTCCCTGCGTGGAGGTTGTTGTTCATTCATTTTACCTACGAGTAAAGTACGCCTTTTGATTAGCTCTGTGTCCTGCGCCTGACTTCGCCTACCGCATTACACTGACGCCTTGACAGAAACACGCACCATAACATGGAGTCAGCAGGTACAGCAATGCCAGCCGGATCGATGGAGGAACGCGTCCAACAACAAGCGGCCATGATCCAGGCTCTCGGCACCGCTATGGAACGAGTAGTTAATACTATGGAGCGATGGGAGAGAGGAGGTATCCCTATAACTCCTCCAATTACACCACCACCTACACCGATGTCCATCTCTTCACCATCTGGGTCCAGTGGGATTCGGCTCTCGCTCCCGAGGGCATATGACAGTACAGCTGCAGGGTGTCAGGGTTTTCTGCTCCAGATAGAGCTCTACCTGGCAACCATCCACCCGGCTCCCTTGGGATACGAGAGCGTGTCCGCCCTCATCTCCTGTCTGTCCGGTAAAGCGCTGGAGTGGGCCAACGCTGAGTGGGGGGGAATAGACGCCGCAACTGTAAGCTATGCGGAGTATTCGATCATCCACCAGAGGGGAGAGCGGCGGGTGAGCGTCTATTCCACCTCAGACAGGGGAAGAGGAGCGCGCAGGAATTTGCGCTGGACTTTCGGTCTCTGGCTGCCAGCGCAGGATGGAATGAGAGGGCCCTCATCGACCACTACCGTTTAAGGGAGGACGTTCGTCAGGAATTGGCCTGCAGGGACACCAACCTAAACCTGGACCAGCTGGTGGATATGTCAATCCGACTGGATAACCTGTTGGCCACCCGCGGACGTCCGGATCAGGGGCCGTCCATTCCATCCCCCAGCACCTCCGACCCTACCCCTATGGAGCTCAGAGGTGCTGCTATGAGGGAGACCAGTAGAGGGGCCGGCCCCTGCACCAACTGTGGCCGCAGAGGACACACTGCTGGTCAGTGCTGGGGAGGGCCTTCAAGGAGTCGAGGCAGTAGGCAGCGCACTGGTGAACCGTTTCAGGTGAGTAGGCACCCAACTCACCCAGAGCTCCCTGTTGTGCACATGTGTATAAATGTTGTATTTCCCGAGTTTTCTTCTCATTCCCAGTATAAGGAGCTAGTAGATTCAGGCGCAGCTGGGAACTTTATTGATCGTCATTTTACCCGTAGGTTAGGGATTCCTATTGTGCCAGTTGATGTGCCCTTCCCTATACATGCCCTAGATAGTCACCCTTTAGGGTCAGGTCTGATTAGGGAGGTCACAGCGCCACTCTGGATGAAGACGCAGGAGGGGCATGAGGAAATAATTAGTGTATATCTGATTGATTCTCCTGCGTTTCCAGTGGTGTTGGGGCTTCCCTGGTTAACTTCTCATGACCCCACTATTTCATGGCAACAGAGGGCTCTCAAGGGATGGTCAAACCAGTGCTTGGGGAGGTGTATAGGTGTTTCCGTAGGGGCAACTACGGTGGAAAGCCCAAACCAGGTTCCCACTATGCACATTCCGCCTGAATATGCCGATTTGGCTCTCGCCTTCTGTAAAAAGAAGGCGACTCAATTACCACCCCATCGACAGGGGGATTGTGCGATAAACCTCCAGGTAGGCGCTGCGCTTCCCCGGAGTCACGTGTATCCTCTGTCACAGGAGGAGACGGCGGCTATGGAAACATATGTCACCGAATCTCTGAGACAAGGATACATTCAGCCATCCACTTCCTCTGTGTCATCGTGTTTCTTTTTTGTGAAGAAGAAGGATGGTGGCTTACGCCCGTGCATTGACTACTGTGGTCTAAATCAGATCACTGTAAAATACAGCAATCCATTACCTCTGATTGCGAGTATGACGGAGTCATTGCACGGGGCGCGCGTCTTCACGAAATTGGATCTCAGGAGCGTGTACAACCTGGTGCGTATCCGGGAGGGAGATGAGTGGAAGACGGCATTTAGTACCACCTCGGGGCACTATGAGTACCTCGTCATGCCATACGGTTTGATGAATGCTCCTTCAGTCTTCCAATCTTTTGTTGATGAGATTTTCAGGGACCTGAATGGACAGGGTGTAGTGGTGTATATTGATGACATTCTCATATACTCCGCTACACGGGCCGAGCATGTGTCCCTGGTGCGTCAGGTGCTTGGTCGACTGTTGGAGCATGACCTGTATGTGAAGGCGGAGAAATGTCTGTTCTTCCAAGAGTCCATCTCCTTCCTAGGACACCGTCTGTCCGCGTCAGGTGTGGAGATGGAGATTGACCGTATTTCGGCCGTGCGTAATTGGCCGACTCCAACCACGGTGAAGGAGGTGCAGCGATTCTTGGGTTTTGCCAATTACTACCGGAGGTTTATCCGGGGCTTTGGTCAGGTAGCGGCTTCCATTACCTCCTTGCTAAAGGGAGGACCAGTGCATCTGCAGTTGTCAGCTGAGGCGGACAGGGCTTTTGGGCATCTGAAGGACCTGTTTACTACGGCTCCGGTGCTGGCTCATCCGGATCCTTCCTTGGCCTTCCAGGTTGAGGTGGACGCGTCCGAGGCTGGGATTGGAGCTGTACTGTCTCAGCGCTCGGGCACGCCACCAAAACTCCGCCCCTGTGCTTTCTTTTCTAAGAAGCTCAGTCCGGCGGAGCGCAACTATGATGTGGGGGACCGGGAGCTGATAGCTGTAGTCAAAGCTCAGAAGGTGTGGAGGCATTGGCTTGTGGGGGCTAAACACCCTTTTCTCATTTTGACTGACCATCGTAATCTGGAGTACATCCAGGCGGCGAGGAGGCTGAACCCTCGTCAGGCAAGGTGGGCCATGTTCTTCACTCGTTTTGTGTTTACTCTCACTTACAGACCAGGTTCCCAGAACGCTAAGGCAGACGGCCTGTCCCGTCTGTATGACACAGAGGAGAGGTCCATTGAGCCCACTCCCATACTTCCGGCGTCGTGTCTGGTGGCACCGGTGGTGTGGGAGGTTGACGCGGACATCGAGCGGGCGTTACGTACCGAGCCCACTCCCCCACAGTGTCCAGAGGGTCGGATGTACGTGCTGCTCGAGGTTCGTGATCTTTTGGGCTCACACGTCACCCTCCTGTGGTCATCCTGGCATCGGTCGGACAGTGCACTGTCTTAGTGGGAAGTACTGGTGGCCCACTTTAGCCAAGGACGTGAGAGTTTATGTTTCCTCCTGCTCTGTCTGCGCCCAGTGTAAGGCACCTAGACACCTGCCCAGGGGGAAATTACAACCCCTACCCATTCCACAACGGCCGTGATCCCACCTATCGGTGGATTTTGTGACGGACCTTCCCCCCTCACAAGGGAACGTTGTGGATCGGTTTTCCAAGTCCTGCCGTCTCATTCCTATGCCAGATCTCCCTACAGCCCTACAAACTGCTGAGGCCCTGTTTACACACGTCTTCCAGCACTACGGGGTACCTGAGGATGTTGTGTCGGATCGGGGTCCCCAGTTCACCTCAAGGGTCTGGAGGACATTCATGGAACGTCTGGGGGTCTCGATTAGCCTTACCTCAGGTTTTCACCCCGAGAGTAATGGGCAGGTTGAGAGAGTTAACCAGGATGTGGGTAGGTTTCTGCGGTCCTATTGCCAGGGCCGGCAGGGGGAGTGGTCGGGTTAAATCCCCTGGGCAGAGATGGCCCAAAACTCACTCCGCTACTCCTCTACTAACATTACGCCTTTCCAGTGTGTGTTAGGTTATCAGCCGGTCCTGGCACCATGGCATCAGAGCCAGATCGAGGCTCCTGCGGTGGATGAGTGGTTTCGGTGCTCGGAAGAGACCTGGAACGCTGCTCATGTACACCTGCAGCGGGAAATCAGCCGATCGCCACCGCAGTGAGGCCCCGGTGTATGCACCGGGGGACCGGGTCTGGCTCTCGACCCGAAACCTTCCCCTTTGCCTTCCCTGCCGGAAGCTGGGTCGGCGGTTTGTGGGGCCATTTAAAGTCCTGAGGAGATTGAACGAGGTTTGTTATAGGTTACAGCTTCCTATTAATTACCGTATTAACCCCTCGTTCCATGTGTCTCTCCTCAGGCCGGTAGTAGCTGGTCTACTCCAGGAGTCTGAGGTACGGGAGGTTCCTCTGTCCCCACTGGACATCGAGGGGGCACTGGCGTACTCGGTCCGTTCCATCTTGGATTCGAGGCGTCGGGTGGGGGGCCTGCAGTATCTCGTGGAGTGGGAGGGGTACGGTCCGGAGGAACGGTGCTGGGTCCCTAGGAGGGACATCCTCGATCCCTCCATGTTGAGGGATTTCCACCAGAGTCATCCGACTCGCCCTGCCATGCGTCCTCCTGGCCGTCCCAGAGGCCGGGGTCGGCGCACGGCTGGAGCCGCGCGTCAAGGGGGGTGTACTGTCACGGATTCAGCCGAGGCTGCCCCTCCTCTTTGCTCGGGCAGGCTTCGGCGTTCGTCGTCACCGGAGTACTAGCTACTACCGATCCATGTATCTATGTTCGACTTGTTTTGTCTTAATTGGTCACACCTGTTTCCCATCATGTAGTTATGTCTTCCCTATTTAACCCTCTGTCTCACACTGTATGTTGCGCGTGTTTGTTCATGTTTTGGTTGTCGTTCGTGTGCGGGTTTGTTCCCTCCCTGCGTGGAGGTTGTTGTTCATTCATTTTACCTACGAGTAAAGTACGCCTTTTGATTAGCTCTGTGTCCTGCGCCTGACTTCGCCTACCGCATTACACTGACGCCTTGACAGATGTGACAGCTCTTCAGTCTCAGCGAGACAAAAGCTCCCTTGACATTAACACTTATGGGATTATGTGATATTCATTGTGGTTTGGTCTCATGTTACCGTCGTTTTTCAATCTCATATAGGGACACAAACAGTGTTGACAGATCTTTGAAATAGGAAACTTAAATTCTACAGTATGTCATAAATTCCTTTGTTTCAATAAAATCAGTGATGGTCCCTTGTGAGATTTTGACATTTGAAATGTAATAATACCACCCCCTCTGTAGTACAACGGCTGAAGTGTATGGAACTTGAGAGTTGTGCAGTGTAGAGACTTCAACAGAGTGCTGAATGGAGAGCTGGATGAAAGAGGAACCTCACATTGATATCAATGCAGAATTGACAGAAAAAGAGTGACTGACCGTAGGCCGTGTGCCCTCAGCTCCCGGCTGGTCCGTAACCTATCAAGGTCCTCCACGTCTCGGAACAGGAAGAATACATCTTTGCATTCTGGATGGGTCTCAAACAACCTGTTACCAAGACAACAGACATTTGTGAGCCTCCAAGAGCCAGCTTCATAAAGCCTGCCTTAAACCAAACTGACATATTCATGCCCACACCAAAACATCCCTCCGTCCTGCAAGTTCTCCCACTGACTACATAACAGAGTTCAAGCAAGGCTATACATAAGGTCTTGAAAGTAATCCATGATGGGTTTTTTTATAATGCAAGTGTTGAATCAACTGTTGATATTGTAATTTAGTTAAGCCATGCCTGTCTCTATCCTTGTAAATATCTGTCTTCAAGGTGGCATTACAAGTCATCCCATCTGAGCCATCCATGAGATCTGATTGTGCCATTGAGCCCCTTGCAGTTATCAGTCCTGGCTGCGCTCTCATCATCAGTCCTTCCCTGCTGGGCTCTATGTCTACTACGGGCTGCAATCACACACAGCATCAATCCACTCAGTGTCAGGGGTGACCAGTATAGCCTCTTCTCCTTCTCCCCTTACAGAGCTGTAATGAGTTCCCCTGCCTTATCAGACCTAGTCATGTCAGAGTCAAATGGTACATAAGTTCCAAAAGCCCACAATAAGCTCAGATACAGTGCAGGCACAGAATGTGTGTGTGTGTGTTTGTGTGTGCGTGCGTGCGTGCGCATACGTATGTACAGTGGGGAAAAAAAGTATTTAGTCAGCCACCAATTGTGCATGTTCTCCCACTTAAAAAGATGAGAGATTCCTGTATTTTCATCATAGCTACACGTCAACTATGACAGACAAAATGAGAAAAAACAACCAGAAAATACATTGTAGGATATTTAATGAATTTATTTGCAAATTATGGTGGAAAATAAGTATTTGGTCAATAACAAAAGTTTCTCAATACTTTGTTATATACCCTTTGTTGGCAATGACACAGGTCAAACGTTTTCTGTAAGTCTTCACAAGGTTTTCACACACTGTTGCTGGTATTTTGGCCCATTCCTCCATGCAGATCTCCTCTAGAGCAGTGATGTTTTGGGGCTGTCGCTGGGCAACACAGACTTTCAACTCCCTCCAAAGATTTTCTATGGGGTAGAGATCTGGAGACTGGCTAGGCCACTCCAGGACCTTGAAATGCTTCTTACAAAGCCACTCCTTCGTTGCCCGGGCGGTGTGTTTGGGATCATTGTCATGCTGAAAGACCCAGCCACGTTTCATCTTCAATGCCCTTGCTGATAGAAGGAGGTTTTCACTCAAAATCTCACGATACATGGCCCCATTCATTCTTTCCTTTACACGGATCAGTCGTCCTGGTCCCTTTGCAGAAAAACAGCCCCAAAACATGATGTTTCCACCCCATGCTTCACAGTAGGTATGGTGTTCTTTGGATGCAACTCAGCATTCTTTGTCCTCCAAACACGACGAGTTGAGTTTTTACCAAAAAGTTATATTTTGGTTTCATCTGACCATATGACATTCTCCCAATCCTCTTCTGGATCATCCAAATGCACTCTAGCAAACTTCAGACGGGCCTGGACATGTACTGGCTTAAGCAGGGGGACACGTCTTGCACTGCAGGATTTGAGTCCCTGGCGGCGTAGTGTGTTACTGATGGTAGGCTTTGTTACTTTGGTCCCAGCTCTCTGCAGGTCATTCACTAGGTCCCCCCGTGTGGTTCTGGGATTTTTGCTCACCGTTCTTGTGATCATTTTGATCCCACGGGGTGAGATCTTGCGTGGAGCCCCAGATCGAGGGAGATTATCAGTGGTCTTGTTTGTCTTCCATTTCCTAATAATTGCTCCCACAGTTGATTTCTTCAAACCAAGCTGCTTACCTATTGCAGATTCAGTCTTCCCAGCCTGGTGCAGGTCTACAATTTTGTTTCTGCTGTCCTTTGACAGCTCTTTGGTCTTGGCCATAGTGGAGTTTGGAGTGTGACTGTTTGAGGTTGTGGACAGGTGTCTTTTATACTGATAACAAGTTCAAATAGTGCCATTAAACAGGTACGAGTGGAGGACAGAGTCTTAAAAAGAATTCCAGTCGTGAAGCCAAAATCTTGATTGTTTTAGTGACCCCTACTATTTCCACATAGCATAATCAAAAAGTACAATGTGATTTTCAACATTTTCTCATTGCTTCATAGTTGACAGTACCTAGATGAAACACAGGCTCTCCTCTTTTTGTGGGAGAACTGCACTGGTGCTGATATACTTTTTTTCCCCACTGTATGTGTATGTGTGCCCCATCCCCCCTCCTCACAGCCTCTACCTCAAACACCTCCAGCTCCAGTTTAACAAGAGATTTAATTCACACTGCAATCCTATCAGGTAGCTATTCAGCAGACGTGTCTATCTTAACATAGTAATGTAATCACTAAACACAATGCCCTGCTGTGGGCTCCATAATGCATACATCACCATATACGGTACATACCATTAAAGCTCTGTAGGATCTATAGAAACCATGCATTAATTACTTGGCTTTATATTGCTAATTATCTCCTCCCCCCTTCCCATTTTTGTGTTTTTCCTCATCATGTTATGAGGTGGGGTATAAGAGCCTTGCACATACACTTCCATTTCCACCTCTTACTGCCTCTGTGTGAGAGAGAAAATAACCGTGTCATATTCACACTCACAGTTGTATCGCAGCCAACTGCCACTGTCATAAACACTAGGCCCTTGAAAGACAGATGAAAGGAGCAGAGAAGAGGTGTGTGAGAAGGTGATTTCAAAATGGGTCTCTGAATGGTTGTTATGTTCTACTTGCATTAACAATAAAATATCTTATGAATTTTGGCTGATGATACAAGTGATACGTTTCAGGGGACTTAAGTTGACACATTCATTACATGGAATTATGTCAAAATTACTAGAACCTTAAAATAATACAATTAATGACAGAAAATAAAAGTAATAATGCAAAAGAAAATAAACAAAACATCTTCATATTCTGGAGATATTCTGCACTGAATGTAGACCTGAATGCATTATATTATAATTATGTGACTAGGTAAGATGGATGTCAAGCTGAGTGGATTTCCAGAGGAGCCCTATTACGAGCCCTATTGTTATAGGACACAGAATATTCTTCCCCGTGAATGTCGTTCTTAATTTATAGGCACAATGTAATTCATACCACACCTCATTGATGTAAGGGAAATTACCCATGTCTCTGTTGTTCCCACACAGCTACAGAAAACAATAGTTAATGAGCTTCACACCTCAAACTACAGTATATTCAAATCAAATCAAATGTTTTTCGTCACGTGCCTCGTAGACCACAGGTGTAGACTAACAGTGAAATGCTTACTTACGGGCCCTTCCCAACAATGCAGAGAGAAAGAAAATAGAGAAATAATAGAAAAGTAATAACACATAATAATAAATACACAATGAGAAATGATAACTTGGCTATATACAAGGGGTACCAGTACTGAGTCCATGTGCAGGGTTATGAGGTAATTGAGATAGATATCTACATATAACTAGGAATAAAGTGACAAGGCAAAAGGATAGATAATTAACAGTAGCAGTAGCGTATGTGATTAGTCCAAAAAAAAGTGAGTGCAAAAAGGGTCAATGCAGATAGTTAAATAGTTAACCAAATAGCTACCCGGACTAACTATTTAGCAGTCTTATGGCTTGGGGGTAGAAGCTGTTCATGGTCCTGTTGGTTCCATACTTGGTTCATCGGTAAAGCTTGCCGTGCGGTAGCAGAGAGAACAGTCTATGACTTGGGTGGCTGGAGGCTTTGACAATTTTTAGGGCCTTCCACTGACACCGTGTCACGGATTCTGCCGAGACTGCCCTTCCTTCTGGCTCGGGCAGGCTTCGGCGTTCGTCGTCACCGGAGTACTAGCTGCTGCCGCTCTGTTATATGTTTCTATGTTCACTTGATTGTTGTCTGTTGTTGCACACCTGTTCCCCATTATGTTAGTTTGTCTGCCTATTTAACCTGTTCACATCCACTGTTTGGTGTGCGTGTTTATTGGATTGTACGAGTGTCATTTTGTGAGCGGGTTTTGCTCCTCCTTTGTTGTTTGGAGGGTTTTTCTTGTATTTCTTTACTACTCAGTAAAGTGGTTCTTCATCTCATTCTGTGTCCTGCGCTTGACTCTGGCCTACCGCATTCCACCGACACTCGTGACAGAAACACGCACCACTATGGAGTCAGCAGGAGCAGCCGGAGTAACCGAGACGATGGAGGAACGAGTCCAACGTCAGGAATTAATGATTCAGACTCTCGGGGTCACCATGGAACGAGTATTCCAGACGATGGAACGATGGGAGAAAGGTGGTATCCCGTCACCATCTCCAACCACTCAACCACCTACAACACTGGTCACCGCTTCGCCATCTGGGTCCAGTGGGATTCGGCTCTCACTCCCGAGGGCATATGACGGAACACCTGCCGGGGTGCCAGGGATTTCTCCTCCAGGTCGAGCTGTACCTGGCCACCATTCACCCGGCGCCCTCGGGATTACGAGAGCGTGTCCGCCCTCATCTCCTGTCTATCGGGGAAGGCGCTGGAATGGGCCAACGCCGAGTGGGGAGGAATAGACACAAGTACTGTCCGCTACGAGGATTTCACCCGCCGCTTCCGGGCGGTATTCGATCATCCACCAGAGGGGAGGGCGGCGGGTGAACGTCTGTTCCACCTACGACAGGAGATGAGGAGCGCGCAGGAGTTCGCGCTGGAGTTCAGAACTTTAGCAGCCAGCGCGGGATGGAATGAGAAGGCCCTGATCGACCATTATCGCTGCAGCTTAAGGGAGGACATCCATCGGGAGCTGGCCTGCAGGGACACCGATCTCACCCTGGACCAACTGGTGGACATGTCCATCAGGTTGGATAACCTGTTGGCAGCCCACGGACGTTCTGATCAAGGGCCGTCCATTCTATCCCTCAGCACCTCCAAGTCTACCCCCATGGAGCTCGGAGGTGCTGCGGTTAGGGAGACGGGGAGAGGGACCGTCCCCTGCACCAACTGTGGCTGCAGAGGACACACTGCTGGTCGGTGCTGGGGAGGGTCCTCAGGAGGTCGAGCCAGCAGGCAGGGCACTGGTCGACCGTCTCAGGTGAGTAGGCACCCGACTCACCCAGAGCCTCCTGTTGCTAATTTGTGTATAGATATTGTTTTTCCAGAAGTTTCCCCCCATTCCCAGCATAAGGCGCTAGTAGATTCAGGCGCGGCTGGGAATTTTATTGATCGCCAGTATGCTCATAGTTTAGGGATTCCTACTGTGTCTGTTGATAAAACTTTCCCTGTGCACGCTTTAGATAGTCGCCCGTTAGGGTCAGGCATAATCAGGGAGGTCACCACACCACTTCTGATGAGGACGCAGGGGGGTCATGAGGAGAGGATTAGCCTCTACCTGATTTATTTTCCTGCGTATCCTGTGGTGTTGGGACTTCCCTGGTTAACCATTCATGACCCCACGATTTCATGGCAACAGAGGGCTCTTAAGGGATGGTCTGGTCAGTGTTCAGGGAGGTGTGTAGGAGGTTCCTTGGGGGCAACTACGGTGGAGAGTCCAAACCAGGTTTCCACTATGCACATTCCTGCCGAGTATGCCGATTTGGCTATCGCCTTCAGTAAAAAGAGGGCGACTAAATTACCACCTCATCGTCCGGGGGATTGCGCGATAAATCTCCAGGTAGGAGCTGCACTTCCCCGGAGTCACGTGTATCCATTTGTCTCAGGAGGAGAGGGCGGCTATGGAGACATATGTCACCGAGTCTCTGAGACAGGGATACATTCGGCCATCCACTTCACCTGTCTCCTCGAGTTTCTTTTTGTGAAGAAGAAGGATGGTGGTTTATGCCCGTGCATTGATTACCGTGGCTTAAATCAGATTACCATCAAGTACAGCTATCCATTACCCCTGATAGCTAGTATGACGGAATCATTGCACGGGGCACGCTTCTTCACAAAATTGGATCTCAGGAACGCGTACAACCTAGTGCGTATCCGGGAGGGAGATGAGTGGAAGACGACATTTAGTACCACCTCTAGACATTATGAGTATCTTTCATGCCATACGGGTTCCAATCATTTGTGGATGAGATTTTCAGGGACCTGCACGGACAAGGGGTAGTGGTGTATATTGATGACATACTTATATACTCAACTACAAGGGCCGAGCATGTGTCCCTGGTGCGTAAAGTGCTTGAAAGACTGTTAGAGCATGACCTGTATGCTAAGGCAGAGAAATGCCTGTTCTTTCAGGAGTCCATCTCCTTCCTAGGGTACCACATGTCCGCGTCTGGGGTGAGGATGGAGAGTGACCGTGTTTCGGCCGTGCGTAATTGGGTGACTCCAACCACGGTAAAGGAGGTGCAGCGTTTCTTGGGGTTCGCCAACGACTACCGGAGGTTTAGCCGGGGCTTTGGTCAGGTAGTGGCTCCCATTACCTCGTTGCTGAAGGGGGGACCGGTGCGTCTGCGGTGGTTAGCTGAGGCGGACAGGGCTTTTAGTCGCCTGAAGGAGCTGTTTACTTCGGCTCCAGTGCTGGCTCATCCGGATCCCTCCTTGGCCTTCACGGTTGAGGTGGACGCATCCGAGGCTGGGATAGGCACTGTGCTTTCTCAGCGCTCGGGCACGCCACCCAAGCTCCGCCCCTGTGCTTTCTTTTCGAAGAAGCTCAGCCCGGCAGAGCGCAACTATGATGTGGGGGACCGGGAGTTGTTGGCGGTGGTCAAAGCCCTGAAAGCGTAGAGACATTGGCTTGAGGGGGCTAAACACCCTTTTCTCATTTTGACTGACCACCGCAATCTGGAGTACATCCGAGCGGCGAAGAGGTTAAACCCTCGCCAGGCAAGATGGTCCATGTTTCTAACCCGTTTTGTTTTCACCCTTTCATACAGGCCGGGCAGAATGCTAAGGCAGATGCTCTGTCCCGACTGTATGACACGGAGGAGAGTTCCGTGTGGCCCACTCCCATACTTTCAGCGTCGTGTCTGGTGGCACCGGTGGTGTGGGAGGTTGACGCGGACATCGAGCAGGCGTTAGGTAGCGAACCCTCTCCTCCCCAGTGTCCAGAGGGTCGTAAGTACGTACCGCTAGAGGTCCGCGATCGTTTGATCTATTGGACTCACACGTCACCCTCCTCTGGTCATCCTGGCATCGGTCGGACAGTGACCTGTCTTAGTGGGAAGTACTGGTGGCCCACCTTAGCCAAGGACGTGAGGGTTTATGTTTCCTCCTGCTCGGTGTGCGCCCAGTGTAAGGCTCCTAGACACCTGCCTAGAGGGAAATTACAACCCCTACCCGTTCCACAAAGACAGTGGTCCCACCTATCGGTGGATTTTATGACTGATCTTCCTCCCTCAAGGGGGAACACAACCATCCTGGTCGTTGTGGATCGGTTTTCTAAGACCTCTCGCTTCCTTCCTCTTTCCGGACTCCCTACGGCCCTACAAACTGCCGAGGCCCTGTTTACACACGTCTTCCGGCACTATGGGGTGCCTGAGGATATAGTGTCTGATCGGGGTTCCCAGTTCACCTCAAGGGAGTGGAGGGCGTTCATGGAACGGTTGGGGATCTCGGTTAGCCTTACCTCAGGTTTTCACCCCGAGAGTAACGGGCAGGTGGAGAGAATTAACCAGGAGGTGGGTAGGTTTCTGAGGTCGTATTGCCAGGACCGGCGAGAGGAGTGGTCGGTTTTCCTACCCTGGGCAGAGATGGCTATAAACTCCAACCGCCACTCCTCAACTGACCTCACACCATTCCAGTGTGTGTTAGATTATCAGCCGGCCCTGGCACCGTGGCATCAGAGCCAGATCGAGGTACCTGTGGTGGACGAGTGGGTTCGGCGCTCGCAGGAGACCTGGGACGCTACACATGAACGCCTGCAGCGGGACATCAGGCGTCAGAAGGCGAGCGCCGACCGCTACCACAGGGAAGCCCCGGGGGACCGGGTGTGGCACTCGACCCGAAACCTGCCCCTTCGCCTTCCCTGACGGAAGTTGGGTAGGCGGTTTGTGGGCCCATTTAAAGTCCTGAGGAGATTGAACGAGGTATGTTATAGGTTACAACTTCCTATTAATGATCGTATAACCCCTCGTTCGATGTGTCTCTCCTCAGGCCGGTGGTAGCTGGTCCACTCCAGGAATCTGAGATACGGGAGGTTCCTCCGCCCCCACTGGACATCGAGGGGGCACCGGCGTACTCGGTCCGTTCCATCCTAGATTCGAGGCGTCGGGTAGGGGGCCTGCTGTATCTCGTGGAGTGGGAGGGGTACGGCCGGAGGAGCAGTGCTGGGTTCCTAGGAGATATATCCTCGATCCCTCCTTGTCGAGAGAATTCCATCAGAACCATCCCAATCCCCCCGCACCGCGTCCTCCTGGCAGTCCCCGAGGCCGGTGTCGACGCACGGCTGGGGCCGCGTGTCGGGGGGGGGGGTGGGGTGGGGGGGGGGTACTGTCACGGATTCTGCCGATACTGCCCTTCCTTCTGGCTCGGGCAGGCTTCGGCGTTCGTCGTCACCGGAGTACTAGCTGCTGCCGCTCTATGTTATATGTTTCTATGTTCACTTGATTGTTGTCTGTTGTTGCACACCTGTTCCCCATTATGTTAGTTTGTCTGCCTATTTAACCTGTTCACGTCCACTGTTTGGTGTGCGTGTTTATTGGATTGTACGAGTGTCATTTTGTGAGCGGGTTTTGCTCCTCCTTTGTTGTTTGGAGGGTTTTTCTTGTATTTCTTTACTACTCAGTAAAGTGGTTCTTCATCTCATTCTGTGTCCTGCGCTTGACTCTGGCCTACCGCATTCCACCGACACTCGTGACACACCGCCTGGTATAGAGGTCCTGGATGGCAGGAAGCTCGGCACCAGCGATGTACTGGGCCGTACCCACTACCATCTGTAGTGTCTTGAAGTCAGATTCCAAGGAATTGCCATACCAACTTATGATGCAGACAATCAAGATGCTCTCAATGGTGCAGCTGTAGAACCTTTTGAGGATCTGAGAGCCCATGTCAAATCTTTTCAGCCTGCTGAGAAGGAAGAGGCATTGTCGTGCCCTCTTCACTACTGTGTTGGTGTGTGTGGACCATGATAGATCCTTAGTGATGTGGACACCGAGGGACTTGAAGCTCTCGACTCGCTCCACTACAGCCCCGTCGATGTGAATGGGGGAGTGCTCGGCCCTCCGTTTCCTGTAGTCCACGATCAGCTCCTTTGTCTTGCTGACGTTGAGGGAGAGGTTGTTGTCCTGGCACCACACTGCCAGGTCTCTGACCTCCTCACTATGGGCTGTCTCATCATCGTCGGTGATCAGGCCTACCACCGTCATGTCATCAGCAAACTTAATGATGATGTTGGAGTCGTGCGTGGCCATGCAGTCGTGGGTGAACAGAGAGTACAGGAGGGGACTTGGCACGCACCCCTGAGGGGGCCCCGTGTTGAGGGTCAGCATGGCGGATGTGTTGTTGCCAACCCTCACCACCTGGGGGCAGCCCGTCAGGAAGTCCAGGATCCAGTTGCAGCGGGAGGTGTTCAGTCCCAGGGTCCTTAGCTTAGTGATGAGCTTGGAGGGCAGTCAGGGCACTATGGTGTTGAACGCTGAGCTGTAGTTGATGAACAGCATTCGCACATACAGTGCCTTCAGAAAGTATTCATACCCCTTGACCTGTTCCACATTTTATTGTGTTACTGCCTGAATTCAAAATGGATTAAATATATTTTTTTCTCTTACCCATTTACACACAATACCCCATAATGAAGTGAAAACATGTTTTTATCATTTTTTTCACATTTATTGAAAATGAAATACAGAAATCTCTCATTTACATAATTATTCACATCCCTGAGTCAATACTTTGTAGAAGCACCTTTGGCAGCGATTACAGCTGTGAGATTTTCCTATAGGATTCTGCCTGTGCCTAGCTCTATTCTGTTTATTTTTATCCCAAAAAAGCAAACAAGCATACACATAACATGATGCAGCCACCACCATGCTTAAAAATATGAAGAGTGGTACTTAGTGATGTGTTGTGTTGGATTTGCCCCAAACATAACGCTTTGTATTCAGGATATTCCACATTTTTTGCAGTATTACTTTAGTGCCTTATTGCAAACAGGATGCATGTTTTGGAATATTTTTATGCTGTACAGGCTTCCTTCTTTTCACTCTGTCAATTACGTTAGTATATTGGAGTAACTACAATGTTGTTGATCCATCCTCAGTTTTCTCCTATCACAGCCATTCCACTCTGTAACTGTTTTAAAGTCACCATTGGCCTCATGGTGAAATACCTGAGCAGTTTCCTTCCTCTCTAGCAACAGAGTTAGGAAGGACCCCTGTATCTTTGTAGTGACTGGGTGTATTGATACACCATCCAAATTATAATTAATAACTTCACCATGCTCAAAGGGCTATTCAATGTCGGGTTAAAATTTTTTTTGTACCCATCTACCAATAGGTGCCCTTCATCCCTGGTCTTTGTGGTTGAATCTGTGTTTGAAATTCACTGCTCGACCGACCTTACAGATAATTGTATGTGTGGGGTACAGAGATGAGGTAGTCATTAAAAAATCATGTTAAACACTATTATTGCACACAGAGTGAGTCCATGAAACATGTGTGACTTGTTAAGCACATCTTTACTCCTGAACTTATTTAGGCTTGCAATAACAAAGGGGTTGAATACTTATTGACTCAAGACATTTCAGCTTTTCATTTTTTTATTAATTTGTAAACATTTCTCAAAACGTAATTCCACTTTCACGTTATTGGGTATTGTGTACGCCAGTGACACAAAATCTAAATTTAATCCATTTTAAATTCAGGCTGTAACACAACAAAAAGTGGAAAAGGTCAAGGGGTGTGAATACTTTCTAAAGGCACTGTATTGCCTTGATTGGGCTTAAAGCCATCTTCTGTGCCGTGCCTGGAGGTCTCTCTCTCTCTCTCTCTCTATCAACAGCCGTAATGTCAGACTAGCACCAAACTAGGACTGCATACACTATTCATGCAGTTTTTTTCTCTCTGCAAACTATTACATTTCAAAGGCTGGCTATTGTGCTTGTTGATATGTATTTTCTTTGCTTCGAGCGTCTTCGTTTGTCAATAGATATGAAGGGATGGGAAGGGGCCTGGTGCTGTATATTTATCATGTAATATTGAGACATGATGTAGGATGATGGGAGGGAGGAAGGCAACACCCTCCAACCCCTTCATGAAAGTCTTCAAACCACAAGGCAGAGGGATGTGGCAGATGTTAAAGAATAGGACTATGTACTGTACAGTTGCTTGTTTGTGAGCAGAGGTTAGGCACCATGTCACAGTCACATTCAATCATTGAGCCCCGAGAGCCCTCTCTGTTGTGGACTAAATAATGTCTCTCCCTAAAGATGCCTTGAGAGCTTTTTGAATAAGGCAGCACAAGGAGTGCCAACATTTTATTAGGATGATGGGGCTTAGTTCTCATACAATATAACAATTATATATGTGCTGATCCTACATATTGATCCTACTGTTTCCACAGTCATATGTATTGCAGATATAATTGCAAATAAGACAAATAACTACTGTGTGAATAATGTGAAGTTGTTGGCATATTTTTGTGTTTATAGTCATGAATTATGATGTCAGTCATCATGCAGTCCCTGTGGTCATCAACTGTCTTTGTTCTAGGCAATTCATTCAATCATGTCTGGAATTTAATAGCTAGTTGAGAGCAATAGTGTTGAAGATAATGTTTTGCCTTTCTATGAGAGGTACCATAAATGTTTATGAAAATATTCAGTCTAATAAAGCAAAAATGTCTAACTTGCTTACAAATAACTAAAACAAAATTAAATCAGAATATCTCACCTGACAAACATAATAATTCCAACTTTTGCAATGTCCTCCTGGATAACTTTCCATGACTCTTTGATCATCTCGATCTGCTCCTTGCTGAGATGCGCAACAGCATCCTCCGTCTTCGTCTCTCCAGCTGTTTTCGGTGCCAGCCCTGATATTGCGCAGCCCATTCTTCTTGCTACAGCAAAATGTACAAAAAAATGGTTAAAACAACACACGAAAAGAAACGTCTGCGCCCCTGGCATATGGTTCAGGTATACGCCTCTTGCGCGTATGGCTGTGTATGTAGTCTACAGCATCCAGCATCCAGGCATGAATGATATTCAGTGACATCCAGAGCGCACGAGCACTTCATAATAAGAGTTCATTCTCTGTAACCTTGAGGGGTAGGGCACACGTTTTTTCCTGTAACAATCGCCAAAAGCGCAATGTTGACCAGGCCTACTGTAGAAGGCTATGCATATAGATGTAGCCTATTTTCCATGTAGGTGAATGACCATTAAAACTATGTGGAGAGATCTGATTAATCAATGGAATCAAAATGAAGTTGGTTTATAATATTTATATCATTTCTGTCACAATGGCCAATAAATATACTATTTGCCAACAGTGACTGATCTCTATAACCTTGTGTTGCACCCACTGGGAGTCTTCAAAACCTCAGGGCAGCCAGGGACTTGCTCTGATGGCATCCGATTCAACCAACCAAGGGCTTGATGATTGGTTGAATCTATCAGGTAGTTGAATCGATCATCACCTAGGTGTTGGTGGTGTGCTGGATCCCAAGGCTACACACCCTGTGGGTCTCCTGGACCAGGATTGAAGAACACTGCATTAAGTCAGTAGTCCTCTAATAAACTATTGGGTTTGATACATCCTGTTTATAAATCTTTCCTGAGAGCAGCATTAGTTGTTCCGTTGTCATGTGTTACTGCTCAAACATTAGGAACAGCATAGGCTACCAAGTCTCTGTTACACTTTTACCGTTGGTCACTATCAGATAATAGATCCTCTGTAAACATCTCTGCCTGAATTTCCCCCCTAATATGGTTATACATCATTTCCATCATTCAGTTATGACCTAAAAAGGGTTTTGCAAAGGGATGTTAGGATATTGCAATTGTAAAACCCAGTCATTCAGAATAACTTAAACTCGGCAACAGACATGGAAATCCATTTCTCATATTTGATAATTTTTCCTACTGATATTAATGGAACCACAAATAATGATTAACTGTAATTTCAATATCTGATTTTATTGAGCATATATGCCATTTCAAGTATGAAATTATTCTGTGCCGTTTCTGGAATGGAAAGGTCTAGGAAGACGAGGATCATTTTATAAATAACAAGGAAATATACCAGACAATCAGAAAACAGCTCCAGTGATGTATGAAAACAATCATAGTATTGAGTAGTAGCTAAATGTGGCGCATTTGGCTGAATAATAGACAGCACAGACCATACATCTCCCATTTTTAAACAATTGAAGGTAAAAACACTTTGGTCAAAAGGTCAAATAGGATTGAGTAAGTCCTAATGGCTGTATATCCGCAATAATCACTTAAAATTGGTGGCCCAGCCTTCCAGATTTACTCCCCTTTATATATTAATTCCCATTTCTCTTTTCACTATTTCCATGCTAATGACCCTCACAATTGAATCACAATTAGAGGATGACCATTGCATCGTGGGAGAAAAACATTCTAAGTTACACAGGAAAACATTTGGGTAATCTGTACAGATCTACTTTAATATGCTGACGTTTTTTTCTCAAACATGATATATACTCATTCTCTTTATGTAAACATTTCATGATGGTGTAAAAACAAGACACATTTACAAGTATTTACACATTTTACAAAGTCACAACACATTTTCCCATGGGGTGCTCTCTTGATTGTTCAAGATCCCTTGTAGGTAACACCAGAAGTGAAAAAAAGAGACTGATGTGAGAAAAGGTGATAAACCAGACAAAAAGGAAGTAGAAAATGAACATGAAGATGGTACTCCTAACACAGTAGCAGTAGTTACTGGCTAATAGACTGACAGTATTTATAGTCATATTTCTCAACATCAATTGCATATATATATATATATATATATATATATATGTAAGAGAAGGCTTATTTCATTATTTACAGAATGCAATCAAATCGGTAGGGCATGTACAGTTACGTGTTCATGTGCTTGAACCCAAGTTCTGAAATTTTGCTCGTAGGTTTTTTACCAGACTACTCTCAGTCTTTTTGCCTGAAGTCAGTGCAGACCTCTTGGCACAGTACTGGTAGTCAAGGCTTTTAGAGATTTTAAGTTTGCTCTTTCCTTTAGCTCCTTGTTCCTCCACTCGCTCCTTCCCTCCAGTCTCCACTGGCCCCTCGCCAGCAACCCTCTCCACTATAATAACTTTGTGCTCGTTGGGCAGGGTAGCCTGACCAGCCACGTAACAGCTCCTCATTGGCTCCTGAAGGTTCTGCAGCTCCTGTAGAGGCAGTGTTCCTAGCATGTGATCCAAAGAGTTCCACCTGCACAGCGGGGGCTGGGGCTGAGCCTCTCCCACAGAACCCCCACCCCGGTGGTCCATGGATGACGTAGTCTCAAGTGAGTCTGTTCGTCCACTGTTAGTGTCTGTGGAGCAGTTGCAGCTGGATGAGTAGCCAGTGGGGCTCCATGAGGTACTGAAGCCCTCAGTGCAACACTGCATCCTCTCTGGGACAGAGCAGCTACGGCTGACAAGTGATGGGTGGGAGGAACCAGGGTCCAGCCTGGGGTTAGTGTATTTGGAGCGTAGCTCCTGGACATCTGGCCAGTGGAAACTCTGTGTCTGCACTGGGCTGTGAGGACTGTTGGAACAGGGGGACGTGACCCGTGAGCTGGCCCCAGAGTTGAGACTTGGGACTGGGCTTGGGGTCCTCAGCTCATGCACGACCACCTGCTCATAGGATTTGAGTGACAGCGTCAGGTTAGGCCTACCTGCATACACAGAAAGACAGGGCAGAGATAAGGGACAGCAGTTTGATAATTTTAGCCTTGCAGATTAGAGTATCATATCAAATCATAACGGATCATCAAAACATATCCCTGACAGCTTACCCCAGTCTCTCCTTTGGACCTTCTCCTCGTAGACAGCTGGCAGGTTCTTGGGGGCAAGGTGGTTCTCAGCCTCCCTGTTCCTCTGCCTCACCACGGGCCTGCTGTTCTTGATGCGCTGGCTATACTGGCGGGCCAGTTGGAAAACCTTGTTCTTCATCTTCTCCATGTCCTGCAGGATCAGGTCCTCCTCCACCCCTGAACGCAGGCTGATGATCCTGGGGAGGGGAGCCCTACTGACCGTGCCTCTCTCCCAGGACTTGAGAGTCTTATTCTGGAAGGACTTCTGCCCTGAGAAGGGGTCTGGGGAGGTTGTGATGGGTGATGGGGCTGGGGATTCCTCTGAGACAGCGCCCATGTCTGACTCCTCCAGGATCCTCAGGGGCTCGATGTACTCAGCTTCAGGGCTCTCTTTGCTGGTTCCCCCCTTCCAGGATAGATGTGATCTAGGATGGACAATGTCCTCTGTACCCTGGATACCCTTGGGTTTCCCAAGGCTCCCATTAACCTCCTCCATCTCCATGTCTTGCCACACTTGGACCATGTCCAAGGATGGTCTGAAGAACTCTTCCTCGTCTCCAACAGGAGCATCATTGACATTCTGGGATCTGGGCTTGATGTCTGCAGCTTTCTGTGGCTCCAGCACAGGGGTATTATTAGTACTCTGCTCTTTTTCTAAGCCAGGAAGGTCGAACACTGACCAGGATGTGGGCCGGTTGTTCGGGGAGACCTTCCTGTGCCCTGGAACCGCCTGGTCCTGGGGTTTGCTGTTGAGCTGCCGGCTCAGGTGTCTGACCAGGCCTGCTGGGATATAGGACAGGCTCTCCCTGCGCTTGATGCTGAAGCTGGCATCCTGGTGCTCTGCATGCTCATAGTACCTCCTGATCTTGTGGATGAGTAGCCGGTCCTCCTTGGAGAGAGTGGATCTGCGCTCCACCTCCATGAGGTGGTCTAGTTTAGGGGCAGGCGTAGAGGCGTTGGCTTCCAGGAGCAGTGGGGGCTCTGTGGTGGAGTTAACCAGGGTCTGGACCTTCTCCTGGAGCTCGGTGCTCAGACAGGGGGTGCTGCTGCTCTTGCTGCCCGGCTGAGGAGAGGGGCAGCCCAGGGAACGCAAGTCCTCTGAGACCACCAGGCTGCCTCTCCGGGACAGGCTGCTGACAAAATGCTCAGCGATTACACTGGCCTGGTCCAACACAGAGGCAGGCAGGATGCGGCTGGTCTCAGTCCCCACTGCCGCAGCAAACTCTGAACACTCTCCATTGGTCACTGATGAGTTCATCTCGTCCTGTTGGAGGACAGAGCAGTCACTCTCCTCTTCCTCTCTACATCTCTCCTCCTCTTCCTCCCCTCCCTCTCTGTACCTTTCCTCTTCCTCTACTCCTCCCCAGATACCCCTCTCCTCAGGCTCCACTGTCTGAGACGTCTCAGGCTGCCTGAGAGGCAGGGTCGGCGAGGCATCAGGCACTGTGTATAGGGGTGGGTTCGCCTCATTCTGTTCCATCACCACTACCTTAGGAGCACTGCTTTGAGGAGGCACCTCCTCCACATACGCCTGGATAAGAAGGAAGACTGAATATTAATGTCAGAATGGAATAAAGCAATATGGATATGACAAGCCAACAGGTGGTTAAAAATCACCAGTCATTATCTGACATTTGATCAATGAGCAGAGTCAAATGATCAGGTTAATCTGCTACAGCAGCCATGATCTCTGATCCACATTAGTAGCACATGGAGTCGAATATTCTGATAACATAACAGTCACAGTAGAACGTGTAATATAATAATCCGAACATTTTGATTCCATTTGAAGCTTTATAGCCAATTCCTGACATACAATTGCCACGGGCCATTTCATACGCCCCTGCTGAACTCTGCTGTAAAATGTAGCACTTTTTAAAAGTCTTTTTTTAACAGTTTTACATTTCAACAATTTGGATGCCAGTGTGCAGTTATAACAGACAAATTTCCAGCTGCAGTCTGGCTGTGGCGGAGTGTGTGTGTGTGTTGGGGTATGCAGTGGGAGCTGCGGGAAGGAGATAAGGGAGGGATGAATACAACTTGTTACACTCGGCAGCAGACGTCCCACAGAGCACCCAGGAGACGCAGGATCTATCAAAATGACAGGGGGCAACAGCATGGAGGAAGGGGCGTTCTCATTTACAGGGCATAAATACACAACCCCCTAGTCATATTAGAACTTATCTGAACAGATCCATTTTGGGACACCTACCAGTCTTCCCTAATTCCCATTCCCGCAAAAGATTAAGACTTTTCTGTTAGCATTGCCTATATTTAAGAGATATATACAGTACAAGAACAGAAAACATTCATCCGTTCAGAATCTCTTGAAGCCTAGTCTCATGTGACAGATTTGGTTCTGGGTGCCAAGATCATCTTAACTTTGACCCAGCCAGTCCAAACTCTCCATACCTGGTCAGTGAAGGTCTCCTCTGTAGCCATCTCACTGATCTCCTGGGCTGATATCTCCATCCTCTCCCCGATGGGTCCATTCTTATCTACAACCTCACAGTGTTCTTCATCCTGGGGTAGCAAAACACAACATGAAAGGGACTGCAGCATGTTTAGGATGAACACTGGGTCTTACATGGCCAAATCCATACAGTGGAGTATCACATGAGACATTTCTCTATCATCTGGTTCCAGACAGTCACAAGCTGGGCAACACTGATTTGCATTTGGTTTTAAAGCACCTGTGTGACAGTTACAGTGGGGGAAAAAAGTATTTAGTCAGCCACCAATTGTGCATGTTCTCCCACTTAAAAAGATGAGAGAGGCCTGTAATTTATCATCATAGGTACACGTCAACTATGACAGACAAAATGAGAAAAGAAAATCCAGAAAATCACATTGTAGGATTTTTAATGAATTTATTTGCAAATTATGGTGGAAAATAAGTATTTGGTCAATAACAAAAGTTTCTCAATACTTTGTTATATACCCTTTGTTGGCAATGACACAGGTCAAACGTTTTCTGTAAGTCTTCACAAGGTTTTCACACACTGTTGCTGGTATTTTGGCCCATTCCTCCATGCAGATCTCCTCTAGAGCAGTGATGTTTTGGGGCTGTCGCTGGGCAACACAGACTGGAAAATAATTATTTGGTCACCTACAAACAAGCAAGATTTCTGGCTCTCACAGACCTGTAACTTCTTCTTTAAGAGGCTCCTCTGTCCTCCACTCGTTACCTGTATTAATGGCACCTGTTTGAACTTGTTATCAGTATAAAAGACACCTGTCCACAACCTCAAACAGTCACACTCCAAACTCCACTATGGCCAAGACCAAAGAGCTGTCAAAGGACACCAGAAACAAAATTGTAGACCTGCACCAGGCTGGGAAGACTGAATCTGCAATAGGTAAGCAGCTTGGTTTGAAGAAATCAACTGTGGGAGCAATTATTAGGAAATGGAAGACATACAAGACCACTGATAATCTCCCTCGATCTGGGGCTCCACGCAAGATCTCACCCCGTGGGGTCAAAATGATCACAAGAACGGTGAGCAAAAATCGCAGAACCACACGGGGGGACCTAGTGAATGACCTGCAGAGAGCTGGGACCAAAGTAACAAAGCCTACCATCAGTAACACACTACGCCGCCAGGGACTCAAATCCTGCAGTGCAGACGTGTCCCCCTGCTTAAGCCAGTACATGTCCAGGCCCGTCTGAAGTTTGCTAGAGTGCATTTGGATGATCCAGAAGAGGATTGGGAGAATGTCATATGGTCAGATGAAACCAAAATATAACTTTTTGGTAAAAACTAAACTCGTCGTGTTTGGAGGACAAAGAATGCTGAGTTGCATCCAAAGAACACCATACCTACTGTGAAGCATGGGGGTGGAAACATCATGCTTTGGGGCTGTTTTTCTGCAAAGGGACCAGGACGACTGATCCGTGTAAAGGAAAGAATGAATGGGGCCATGTATCATGAGATTTTGAGTGAAAACCTCCTTCCATCAGCAAGGGCATTGAAGATGAAACGTGGCTGGGTCTTTCAGCATGACAATGATCCCAAACACACCGCCCGGGCAACGAAGGAGTGGCTTCGTAAGAAGCATTTCAAGGTCCTGGAGTGGCCTAGCCAGTCTCCAGATCTCAACCCCATAGAAAATCTTTGGAGGGAGTTGAAAGTCTGTGTTGCCCAGCGACAGCCCCAAAACATCACTGCTCTAGAGGATATCTGCATGGAGGAATGGGCCAAAATACCAGCAACAGTGTGTGAAAACCTTGTGAAGACTTACAGAAAACGTTTGACCTGTGTCATTGCCAACAAAGGGTATATAACAAAGTATTGAGAAACTTTTGTTATTGACCAAATACTTATTTTCCACCATAATTTGCAAATAAATTCATTAAAAATCCTACAATGTGATTTTCTGGATTTTCTTTTCCCATTTTGTCTGTCATAGTTGACGTGTACCTATGATGAAAATTACAGGCCTCTCTCATCTTTTTAAGTGGGAGAACTTGCACAATTGGTGGCTGACTAAATATTTTTTTCCCCCACTGGGACACCATTATACAGACAAAATGAGAAAAAAAAATCCAGAAAATCACATTGTATGATTTTTAATGAATTTATTTGCAAATTATGGTGGAAAATAAGTATTTGGTCAATATCAAAAGTTTCTCAATACTTTCTTATATACCCTTTGTTGGCAATGACACAGGTCAAACGTTTTCTGTAAGTCTTCACAAGGTTTTCACACACTGTTGCTGGTATTTTGGCCCATTCCTCCATGCAGATCTCCTCTAGAGCAGTGATGTTTTGGGGCTGTCGCTGGGCAACACGGACTTTCAACTCCCTCCAAAGATTTTCTATGGGGTTGAGATCTGGAGACTCCAGGACCTTGAAATGCTTCTTACGAAGCCACTCCTTCGTTGCCCGGGCGGTGTGTTTGGGATCATTGTCATGCTGAAAGACCCAGCCACGTTTCATCTTCAATGCCCTTGCTGATGGAAGGAGGTTTTCACTCAAAATCTCACGATACATGGCCCCATTCATTTTTCCTTTACACGGATCAGTCGTCCTGGTCCCTTTGCAGATAAACAGCCCCAAAGGATGATGTTTTCACTCCCATGCTTCACAGTAGGTATGGTGTTCTTTGGTTGCAACTCAGCATTCTTTGTCCTCCAAACACGACAAGTTGAGTTTTTGCCAAAGAGTTATATTTTGGTTTCATCTGACCATATGACTTTCTCCCAATCCTCTTCTGGATGCACTCTAGCAAACTTCAGACGGGCCTGGACATGTACTGGCTTAAGCAGGGGGACACGTCTAGCACTGCAGGATTTGAGTCCCTGGTGGCGTAGTGTGTTACTGATGGTAGGCTTTGTTACTTTGGTCCCAGCTCTCTGCAGGTCATTCACTAGGTCCCCCCGTGTGGTTCTGGGATTTTTGCTCACCGTTCTTGTGACCATTTGACCCCACGGGGTGAGATCTTGCGTGGAGCCCCAGATCGAGGGAGATTATCAGTGGTCTTGTATGTCTTCCATTTCCTAATAATTGCTCCCACAGTTGATTTCTTCAAACCAAGCTGCTTACCTATTGCAGATTCAGTCTTCCCAGCCTGGTGCAGGTCTACAATTTTGTTTCTGGTGTCCTTTGACAGCTCTTTGGTCTTGGCCATAGTGGAGTTTGGAGTGTGACTGTTTGAGGTTGTGGACAGGTGTCTTTTATACTGATAATAAGTTCAAACAGGTGCCATTAATACAGGTAATGAGTGGAGGACAGAGGAGCCTCTTAAAGAAGAAGTTACTGGTCTGTGAGAGCCAGAAATCTTGCTTGTTTGTAGGTGACCAAATACTTATTTTCCACCATAATTTGCAAATAAATTCATTAAAAATCCTACAATGTGATTTTCTGGATTTTCTTTTCTCAATTTGTCTGTCATAGTTGACGTGTACCTATGATGAAAATGACAGGCCTCTCTCATCTTTTTAAGTGGGAGAACGTGCACAATTGGTGGCTGACTAAATACTTTTTTCCCCCACTGTATATAGACAGCTGACATTCATATTACAAGGTGTTCAACGTTCAAGCCATTTTAATGCCATTACAGCAATTAACCTTTACAAAGCTCCTCTGTAGTTTTGGAAAAATCAGAAAGGAAACCTTTTAACTAATGTGAAGACCAAAGCACCCATTGTCCTTACTCCCCGATTTGACAGCCAAATTCACCTTTGAAGTCATACATAAGCTCTGTGAATCCATTGATTCAATGCAAATGCACCCGCCAAATAAGCACAAGGCTAATTGCTAACTTGTTTTTTCTACAATGTTGATTTTCAAATAAAATTGTATTTGTCACATGCACAATGCTTTCTTACAAGCCCTTAACCAACAATGCAGTTTTAAGAAAAAATATATAGCCTCGTTATTGTTATTTTATTGTTACTTTTAATATTTTACTTTAGTTTATTTAGTAAATATTTTCTTAACTATTTCTTGAACTGCATTGTTGGTTAAGGGCTTGTAAGTAAGCATTTCACAGTAAGGTCTACACCTGTTGTATTTGGCGCATGTGACAAATAAAATGTGATTTGATTTACTAAATAAACGAAAGTAAAAGTGGCACAATAAAATAACAATAACATAATAACAATAACAAGGCTATATACAGGGGGTACCGGTACCGAGTCAATGTGGGGAGGTAATATATACATGTAGGTAGGGGTAAAGTGACTATGCATAGATAGTAAAACAGCAAGTAGCAGCAGTGTCAATGCAAATAGTCCGGGTAGCAATTTAATTAATTGTTCAGCAGTCTTATGGCTTGGGGGTAGAAGCTGTTAAGAAGCCTTTTAGACCTAGACTTGGCGCTCTGGGTGGCTGGAGGCTTTGCCAATTTTTTTTTGCCTTACAATGTTTTGGGACTGTAACTCCCCGCAACACAAGAGAGAAAAGCATGGTAGTGTGCATGTTAACCATTAGGGCTGGGAATTGCCAGAGACCTCATGATACGATATTATCACAATACTTAGGTGCCGATACGATACGTATTGCAATTCTCACGATTCTATATGTATTGCGATTCAATACTGCAATATGATGTTCCAAACATACTGCTCACTATATGTCTGCTGCAGAGAGACGAGAGAGCATTTGTTTTGATCAGTCATGGAAATAAAAATTCTGAAAACATGTTGGCTCACTATTTAAAAAAATTGAGAACAAGCTATAGGATGAAAAATACCGGAGTTTTGGCGCAGGTACAGCCGACTAGAGCTAGCTAAGGCTACCTAGCAATTTTTTTTAAACAAAAATCCATACTTTTAGTCAAAGTATCAATATAATATCATCCAAAATAATAATTGCGATGTAACTATAGATTTTTCCCACCATCACTATTAACCATTCCATTCGAAAAACCTCAAATTCAAACCATACCAAGCCCTTTAAGGACTTGAACACATCAAATCTATGTTTATAATGTACATAATGCCGTCACATTTTCCCCAACATTCAATGAAGACACAAAAATTATGAATCATAAATCTGATCTCCAGTGACCAGATTTCCATGCTACTGATTTTTGTTACCATTCCTGGAAGGTTTAGTCCATGCAGTTATTGTGAGTGTGAAAACCAGAAGCATTCCATGAATATGGCAAATGGTAGCTGGGTTTTAGTGAATTACATCAAGGTCGAAGTAAACAGAGAGGGAGATGGTTGATTGGCAAGCCGGTGAAATTGCAGAGGAAATAGGAAACCCATTGGTGGCAGTGAGCCTCACCGTTGTGAACCGAGCGGAAAGCAAAGCCCTGGCCCTATAGTGCCAGCAGGAGATGGCTGCCAGCATGGAGCTGGAAAAGTCGGCTACCTGGTCATCCTCCATCAGAATATCTGTGTTTATCTCCCCCTTCTCCTCCTCAGTCTCCTCCTCCTGCTGCTCAGTGCCCCCCTGGCAGGGTAGGGACCCTGGCTTAGGGTCCTCACTGGGACTCAGCTGCTCCAGAGAGTCCCTCCTGCGGCCTAGCTCCTCCTGGGCTTCCAGCACACTAGGCCTCTCAGCCTCAGGCTCGCCTAGACTGGAGCCCAGCATACTGACACTAGCAGCTGGCTGCAGGGAACGCCTGTCCCCCAGAAGAGCACCTTCACTGTCTGCGTGCTGTAGCTTGAAGTCACAGAGAGTTGAGGTGTTATTGCGAGGCCAGCATAGAGGTGTTCCTTTTTTAATGTAATTGCAAGGTGTTGAAAAGGATGGTATCACTGTGACTGCTTTAGCACGGCATGAGATATGAAGGTACAACAATGTGATCATGCCAAGCCAGCATGCTGTGCGCCCCACGTTGTGGACACATCACTAATCAACAAAACCCTGAGACGGAAACCTCTGCCTTTATTAACACAATATGGTTCAGCCCAATACAGCTTAGAGTAGCAGTTCCTCTACTTGGATTAATTTGTCTCTGAATGGAAATGCAGAAAAAACCTTGCTGAGTCAGTGTCAAACCTGTGAGAACAACATCTCCCAGGACCACATTGAACTGAGTCAACCGATTTCTATTTTCTGCACAGAGGAGAAAAAACATGGCAGGGGAAAATGTACTTTCATCATTGGGAAGCTTACCTTCAAAATGGCTGCAAGTCAGGAGAAGAAAATGAAGAGGAGAAAATGAAAGGAGAACGTCAACAATGCTGCCACTACAAGAAACTAGATTTATATATATCATACTGTCAACACACTAATAATATCTGAGCACTGGCAAGTTAATTGGATAAACTGTGAATGAGAAATGCCTCCTTTCTGACTCTCTGACTAAGGAAGACGAAGAACAAGAAAATGACAACTTCATTAGGTTCGTAGCCAAATTGATTTGAGAGGGCGTAAACACGCCAGAGAGACAAGACAGGGGTACTTAGTTTATCCCTTTGTTGCTCTATATTTAAATCAGCAGAGATAACGAGGCTGACTGCACCGCCATGGCAGACTGGCAGACTGACTGACTGACGAAGACACACAGAGACATAGTTTCCTCCCAAACCCATTAGTCTTTAATATAACCTAACCACACTTATTTATTTCCCAACTTATTGCTGCTGTTCATATAACCATTATCACCTCTCTCTCCCCCTCTATTCTCTCCCATCACTGCCCTTTCATTACGGGTCAATTAGAATGCATGAGAGCAGCGTGAGCCACAGATCTAAAGCCAGGACTGAATTTGACTATTGAAAAGAACTCCTGCATGACAAAGCCTTTCAGTAATATGGCCCATAATTAACAGCATTATGGGTGATCTAGGGCAGAGTGGGGTGTGGGGTTGAGAGAGTGGAGGACTGGCCTTTTGATCTGGCTGTCCAGGGGTCTATCTAGGGCAGAATGACAGTATGGGGTGAATACAGAGACTCAGTACGGGCAACAGGGAACCTGAATCATAGCAGCAGTGGCTCCAGGGTTATGAGCCAGGCCAGCTGCCTGTCTGTTAATCTAGTCTCAATCTTCATTTAACATACAAATCTCATAATGATAATGAATAACAAGGACCTCTTTAACAGGGACCTCTTTAACAAGACAGCAATGATAAGTCAATTAGTGGCATCACTGTTGCCTTACCTTTGGTTTTCCTCACAATCCTTTTCCCTGGTTCTTAAAATGTAAAAAAGACATGGTTGAAGCATAGTGAATATATTTGTGGCAAACATACAGTACTCTCATGGACAGATATCACACAAACAATGAGCTTCTGAGACGCAACCAAAAAAACATCTAACCAAGGAGTGGCGTTAAAAATAATTTCAGACCGTAGGACTGAGGGGCAAGTGGAACCTATCGAGCGGGATGAGATGGCTTTAGTGTTTTCCATAAAACAAAACATTGTTTTACTATGTGCAGGGGTGGAAGGAACTAACTCACCTGATGTCCTGTGTCCGTGTCTCCCCTCTGCGGAAGAGTCTTCAGCCTGGCAGGATACAGCCTTCTTCAGCCTCTCTGGGCTGTAGCGGTACCTCCACGACCCTGGGTCTGCACACAGCACAGCAAGCAACACCATCACTCAGTCACTACCGCTCGCTCACTCAAAACCAGGTCAGTGAATTAAAGAAATAGTTCTCTACTCATCAAATGGGGATGCAACAGTTAATAATTGTTCCAAATGGCTTTCATAGAAGCAAACATATTTCCAGTGAATGAAGTGATCCTCTTGCACTCAATGACAGCCTTTTCTGTTGCTTTGGTAACAGCAGCTATGTTTAGTGCCTTTACCTTTTATTCATATGAACCATATTCATCTCGAATACTCACAGAGAGAATCCATTTCGAGGATGGCCTCTTTTACCTGGAAGAGAGAAATCAAAAGAAAACAGTAATATAATTGTTATTATTATTATTATTATTATAGATTTCAAATTTACAATTGCAGCATTGATACATTTATTTTATTTTTTAAATAAAGAACAGCTCCATCCCTCGTCCCCACCTACCCCAGTCCCACCCTCCCTTTCCACCCCCTGCCAAAAAAAACGTAATATAAGGTGCATGTAAACAAGGAACGTGAGGAGATTATATAGAGATAGACACACAGTGAAAACACACTTCTGCATAAAATAAGAAATGTTAACAGACTAATAGTATTTTTTAGTCATAATAGAAATATATAATAAATGAAGAAAATGAAAATGAGGAGGAAGAGTAGTAGATAATTCAATGACAATCATGTGTTTGGGTAATCTTACTAGTCATATTAGAAGGAATACATTTTAGTCATTTAGCAGACGCTCTTATCCAGAGCGACTCACAGTTAGTGAATGCATACATTACATTTATTTTATTTTTATTTTTTATTTTTTCTTACCCCCTGTGGGAAACGAACCCACAACCCTGGCGTTGCAAATGCCATGCTCTATCAACTGAGCTACATCCCTGCCGGCCATTTCCCTCCCTTACCCTGGACGACGCTGGGCCAATTGCGCGCCGCCCCATGGGTCTCCCGGTCGCGGCCGGCTACGACAGAGCCTGGATTCGAACCAGGATCTCTAGTGGCACAGCTAGCACTGCGATGCAGTGCCTTACACCACTGCGCCACTCGGGAGAATAGTATATATCAGTCTAGGTCAACATCTTAAAACTGTATGGGAGTCAAATCATAAAGGTTAAAGCTAAGTGTAGTTGTTTATATTTATATGTAAGTGTGGTAATTGTTCGCTCAGTATGAAGGGTAGAGAGATCTTCAAAGTATGAAATAAAGGGTTGTCAAAGGGAGTACAATTTATCTGATGATCCTCAAGGTGAATTTGATCTTTTCTAATTTAAGAAAAAATATGATATCTTAGAGCCATACAGCTAGGGAGAGGAATAGTATATATCACCCATCACCATAGAGGCAGTCTAGGTCAACATCTTAAAGTTTGGATGCAGTAACGGATGTAGTGGAGCTAATAAGGGCAGAGAGAGAGGAAAGACGGCAGGACCCTGGCTTCTAGAAGGCACTGGTCTGTCTCAGGTGCATGGAGCTAATAAGGGCAGAGAGAGAGGAAAGACGGCAGGACCCTGGCTTCTAGAAGGCACTGGTCTGTCTCAGGTGCATGGAGCCAAAATGTGAGTTTCTGAATGCAGCCCAATAATAGAATATGAAATTAGGTCAATCTAAAACACCTTCAGGGCAGCTTAACTGAAGCGTTTGTTGAAGTTAGCAGATAAAGTAAAGGGAGAGAGTGAGCATTTTGCAATCAAGATATTTGAAGCCAGCCGTGGAAATCCTAAATGGTACTTCAGATTCACGGATTTGTAAAGCACGATCGTTAAAATCGGGTACAGGTAATTTATGGTAATTACGTTTATATCTGGAGAAGACGCCAAATTGTTTAAGAATAGATAGTATTTTAGGGGCACTGATCACTGGATCCATTACATACAGTAGAATGTCATCTGCGTATAGGGAGTCGATATTCTGTACCTCCATGCAACGAAATAGGCAGGATGCTCTCAGAGCAAGCGAAAAGGATTCATGGCGAGGTCAAACAAGTGAGGGCTCAAAGGGAATTCCTGGCGTGTCCCACGTGATAACGGGAAGTATTCAGATCTAGAGCTATTAGTGCAAGCCTGGTGAGAAGAGTATCCAAGTGATGGATCCAAGAGATGAATCTGTCAAAGCCAAACTTCTGCAGAACCGAAAATAAATAGTTCCACTGGATTCTATCGAATGCTTTCTCTGCGTCGAGAGCAATAGCAACTTCAGGTTCATTAGATAAAGAAGGGGTGTAAATAATAACAACAAGCACCTTTTCCTGAAGACTGACTGTTCTTCTGAGATGATCTCGGGGAGAAGTTTCTCCAGTCGAGCAGGAAGTGTCTTTGCCAAGAGCTTAACATCTACATTAAGAGGAGATATGGGGCGGGAGGAAGCACAGTCCCCAGAGTCCTTACCCTTCAAGCTTTTCGTGGATTTTCATCTCCATTTACCTTTGTTTCATCTGGCTGTGAACACATTGGACAACAGTGCAATATTGGTGATTTTAAGGAGACATACAAAACAGATCTGCAGTAACGCTTGAGGCCTACTTGGATATACCTGGGCACCCTACTCTGCACTGGGGCATTATGTAAGCAGACACCTGCCTACTGATGCTTTCATCCCTTCCACCTGACATTGTGCCTTGGATGTTTTTGGACTAATGCCAAACTTTAACTCCACTTGGATTTACTCTTTTGGTCTCTCCCGCAGCCCGGTGTAGCTCTTGCCACCCTCCCGGCTTTCCACCGGCCTGTACTGAAACTACAATGTGCTTCTCTCCAATGTGCTTCCAATGTGCTTCTCTCCTGGCTATCATACTGGTAACACGGCCTCCGTTGCATTGCTGTTTTGATGGGCCCCAGCACTTAATAAGTCATCGCTCTCTCATTGCTGTTGTTATGCTGGCAAATTTTGTGCCTTGGTTGTGTCTATTGTGGATCCTAGTGCAGGCTGGGTTTTAGTTTGGGGTTAGGTTCTGGCTTGCTGCCTATAACTGTGGTGATCCTACACACTGTGTGATTCAATCTAACTATTGCTTTTAGCTGATTCCTTGCCAACCTATTTTATTTGCGTGGATTTTAACATAATTTTTCCAAAATGGGGACTACCACTTTCCGCCATACGGGGAAACAGACTTTTTCCAGATTGATGGCTACCACCTTCAGAGACTACAGTGAACGTTTCATCCCATGTAGGAGCTGCACTTTAGCCAGGCTAGGGGTTAGGGTTAGGGGTTAAGGTTTAAGGTTAGGGTTAAGGGTTAAGGGTTAGGGGTTAAGGTTAGGGTTAAGGTTAGGGTTAGGAGTTAGGAGTTAGGGTTAGGGTTAGCTAACATGCTGTATGTAGTTACAAAGTTGCTAATTAGCTAAAAAGTTGTCTGTGATGTGATTCGAACACGCAACCTTTAGGTTGCTAGACGTTTACATTATACGCCTACCCATCATCCCCGACCAACCTCCCTCCTTTCATTTTTCTTATGTAACCATGCCAAATGTAACATATCATACTATTTTGAGTCACAGATGTATGTTTACTATGTTACGTCTAGTCTTTGAGGCCAGGCTGAACATCATATATATAATATAATATAATATAGACTATGCGGAATCATTTGGAAAAGAGGTAAGGTGTACTGTACTTCGGTTTTACAGTGAAGTGGTGTATAGGATTACGTTTATACGATTTCTACAAGAGTATATCAGCTATAATAGCCAGATTTCTCATCTGGCCATTATAGCTGATATACTCTTGTAGAAATCGTATGAACGTAATCCTATACACCACTTCACTGTAAAACCGAAGTACAGTACACCTTACCTCTTTTCGGAAAAGTACTTCTGAAAACGGGCCCATTTTTAAGTGCCACAAAGTTGGAAGCACAGAATTGTCTAGAATGCCATGGTATGCTGTAGCTTTATGATTTCCCTTCACTGGAACTAAGGGGCTGTCACGGTTTCGGCCGAGGCTGCTCCTCCTCCTTGTTCGGGCAGGTTTCGGCGGTCGTCGTCCCCGGAGTACTAGCTGCCACCGATCTATGTTTCATGTTCGTTTGGTTTTGTCTTGATGTTGTACACCTGTGTCTAGTTAGTCCTCATTAGTGTCCTATTTAGTTCTCGTTGTGTCTGTTTGGTGTTGTGTGTGATTGCTCCTCTGTTTGGTGTTCTGAGCTACGTATCTTCCCTCCGTTGTTTGGAGAGGTTTTCGCACATGTTAGTGCGCCTTTTGTTTGACGCCTGTGTGCGCCTTTATTTCGCCTCCGGGCTTATTGTTCTCGTGTACTACGTGAATATTTCACTAAAGTCTTTTGGACTTAGCTTCTGCGTCCTGCGCTTGATTCCTGCACCACACCCACCTTCAGCACCCCTGACAGAATCACACACCTTTATGAATGGAATCAGCAGGAGCAACAGTCACGCCTGAGTCGCTGGAGGAGCATGTCCGCGGCCAGGATGACCAGATCCGACAACTGGGGACCGCTCTACAGGACGTCATCAACACCCTGCACCGATGGGAGTCCAGAGGGGTACCCACACCTCCACCTACCCTGCCACCCCCATCGGCCGGTCCACCAGTCCCAGGTCCGGAACCCAGTGGGATTCGGCTCGCGCTCCCGAGGGCGTATGACGGAACAGCTGCCGGGTGTCAGGGGTTCCTCCTGCAGGTGGAGCTCTACCTGGCCACTGTACACCCGGTGCCCTCGGGACACGAGAGCGTTTCCGCCCTCATCTCCTGTCTCACGGGCAAGGCGTTGGAATGGGCCAACGCCGAGTGGAGGAGGATGGACGCCACCACCATCTCCTACGCCGAGTTCTCCCGTCGCTTCAAGGCCGTGTTCGACCATCCACCTGAGGGCAAAGCGGCGGGGGAGCGTCTATTCCACCTGAGACAGGGGAGAGGGAGCGCACAGGCGTTCGCGCTAGAGTTCCGGACTCTAGCGGCAGACGCAGGGTCCGGGCCCTCATCGACCATTTTCGATGTAGCCTACGGGAGGACGTTCAACGTGAGTTGGCCTGCAGGGACACCAATTTCACCTTCGACCA